GATGGGGCAGTGAGCTGTTAAACAGGATAAATCAAGTGTGCGGGCCCTCCCCCCACAGGGCCCCTCCACGGTCTCTCCCCGGCACAGCTGAGGCCCTGGGTGTAGCTCTGAACAAAGCACAGCTAACGGGGCAGAGCCGCCGTGCGCTCGCCACAGCCGTGCGGGCCTCAGATGGCACTTGGCTGGTGGGACTTCTCCAGCTCCCGTCTCTGGGCGAGAAATCTCGCGCTGACGCGTGCTGCACCTGTAGGCAGTGTGACTTCTGTAAAAGGGCTTCTGCTTTACTGTCCAAGTCTACTGGCCCTCCCCCGAGGAGAGTGCCTCAGGGCTCGGGCATCACATGCCACGTCCACGTCTCCCTTCTTCACATCTGAAGCAAATGCTGTCAATGGCATATGTTTGACTAGTTCACAGTCTGCGGTCAGGCGCGTGAGCTCTGGAGCCAACTTGTGGTCACTCAGTGTTGTGGGACTCATATGTAAAGCAGGGCTGGGACTGGCCCTCCTGTGTTAGGACAGAGTGCATTTGCATAAGTGCAAGCCTGTGTACCGTGTGCGGTTGGCTGCACGTTATAGCTACATGTCTTCTTAGGACAGTAGTTATTGTACTAGGACTCCTTTGATTTGAATATTCCTTTAAAAAAGAATGATTGGAAAATTTGCTTTATCAGAATTTCACTAAGTAGTACTGGTTATAAATAGATTTTGCCAATTGGATCAGTATAAAAGATCAAATGAGGTTTTGGTTCTGGAGCAATGGCGTAAGCAACACCTACCAACTCACATCATAGTTACTGGTGAAAAGCTACTGCTTTCCCCCTAAAATCATCAACAAGACAAGGGTGTCTGCCCTCACCACTCCTGCTGAACAGAGGACACAGCTCTAGCTAGTTCAGTATGACAAGTAAATAAAAGAAAAGGCATACAGATTGGAAAGGGAGAAATGAACCGTTTCTATTTGTAAAAAAACACGATTCTCTACCTCGAAAATCCCATTAAGGCTACCAAAAAAACTCCTGGAACTAGTAATAATTAGCAAGTTGTTAAGAAAGCAAGGTCTACATACAAAAGTCAGTATTGTTCTATATACCATCAATGAACAATCAGAAACCAGAATTCAAAACACACCATTTACAGGAACTCCAAAGAGTTATATACTTGCTATACGTGTAACAAAATATGCACAGCATTTGTGTGCTGAAAACTAGAAAATACTGATGAGAGAAATCAAAGATCTAAATAAGAGACCTCCGTGTTCACAGCCGGGACACTCAACATACGGTGCCAATGCTTCCAAGCGGGTCTGCAGGTTTAATGCAGCTCCTGTCAGAGTCCCGGCAGGACTGTTTGTAGATGCAAACAAGATGATTTTTAAATTTATATGAAAACACAGAGGAACTAGTTAAACCAAGAGAATGTTTTAAGAGATTGAAGTTGGAGTAATTTTATGTCACCATAATGCTGCAGTAATCCAGACATTGTGGTATTGGTGGATGGATAGGCACTTACGTAATCAAACAGGATAGAGTCAAGAACACACCCACACACATATGGACAACTGATTTTTGACAAAGGTAATAAAGCAATTTAATACAGAAAGGGCAGTCTTTTCAAAACGTGGTGTTGAAACAATTGGCTAATGCATAAAACAAAACAAAACAAAAAAACCCTTGAACTTCACACCTTACATAAAATTAACTCAAAATGGATCAAATATCCAAATGTAAAATCTAAAATTATAACCTATTTAGGAGAAAATATAGGAAAAGAAGGCTCGCTCATAAAAGATAAAAAAATTAAACAAAAGTCATAGAAGATAAAATTGAGAACTTGTATTTCCTCACAATTAGAAGCATTTGCTTCATGAAAGATCCTGTTAAGATATGAAAAGACAAACCAGAGGCTCAGAGACAATCGTTGTAAATCACAGATCCAGCAAAAGGCTGTGTCCACAGCATAAAGGCCAAGCCCTTTAACCTCCATGCAAAGAAAACAAGACAGTCCAGTTAGAAGATGGACAAAAGACCTGAGCACACACTTCTCCAAACAGGGTGAAGGGATGGGAAATACGCACCTGGCTGGGTGTTCAGCACCATTCGCTGTCAGGAGAAAGCAGATTCAGTAGCAAGGAGACGTCACCACCGTCTATAAAAATGGCTGAAGTAAAACACTGACACCCCCAAGTGCTGACGGGAACAGAGTGCTGGGTCTGTCTTGCCCTGGGCAGGGGCGTGGTGGGGGGGGGGCGGTTGGAGGGGTGGAAAACAGCACAGCTGCTCCCGCAAATAATTTGCCAGTTTCTTAAGAAGTTAAAGGTGTACTTAACATATGATTCTATGATCACAGCCGCGCTTTGCTGTGCCCCTGAAACCGCCACAACATTGTTCATCGGCTATACTCCATATAAAATAAAACGTTAAAAAATATCACAGTCCTGGGTGTTTATCACAGAAAAATGCAACCTCGTGTTCACACAAAAACGTGCACCCTGTTGTTGCCAGCTGCTTTATTTGTAATCCACCAGAGCCGAAACCAACCCAGATGTCCTTCATGGGGTAACTGCATGCACAAGTCGTGGTGCAGCCATGCCCCCCAGCCACCAAGATGAACAGACTTCTGTTAGGTACAGCAACTTGGGCTCTAGACCTCAAGAGCAGTATTATGCTGAGTGCATTTGTTTGATTGGATTTATATGAAGTTCTTGAAATGATACAATTGTAGCGACATAGAACAGATCAGGGCTTGCCTAGGAGAGTGAGAGGCTATGAAGGGACCACCTACAGAGCTCTGCATGGTTGTCCCACTTGTGTGCGTGGTTAGGGAAATCTACACACGTGATAAAATTTCATAGACCCATACACCAAAAGAAGGGCGTGTACAGACTGGGGCCACTTAGGTAATAGTGTCTGACCAGCGTCCCTTACTGGTTTTGCTAATGCACTGCAGTTATGTCAAATGGAAGCTAGCTGAAGGGTACACGGAAACTCTGTATTATTTTTGCAGCTACTCATGAATCTAAAATTATTTCATAATTATACAACACACACGTATAATACACACACACAGACATTAGAGTTGACAGTTATTAAATCTGAAATATAAGAAGTAAATTGTGTAAACAGATGTTAAAAGTAAGAGACGGTCAGAGTGGAAAAAAAAGCAAGATCAATCTGTGCAGCCAGCAAGACACCAACATGAAATCTAATGCTCTTGGCAGGTTGACAGAAAAAGATACGTCACGTTAACACTGATCGAAACCAGGCTGGAGTGACTACACTAATGTCAGAAGAAGGAGGCTTCCGGACGAGACGGTGACTGGGGTAGGAAGGACATTGTGTGAATGTAAAACGGTCGATTCTCCAGGAAGACACATCAGCCCCAGATGTACACACGTCACCTAACAGAGCCTCAAAACACACGAAACAGAACCTGATAGAACAGAGAGGAGGATAAATTCACAATTGTAGTTGGAGATCCAACTGCGCTTTCAGTGACTGACGGGACAAGTGGCCTTGCAGGACGCCACACCTGGCCGCAGGAGGGACATGTTCGTGGCACACAGGGTGTTCCCAAGGTGGACCGTGCTCTGTGTAAAAAAAACAAAAGCCTACCGAACTTAAAACAGTTGAAATCACAAAAAGTATATATTCTGACCAGAGTGAAACTGAACTAGAAATCAGTAACCAAAGGTATCTTAAAATTTTCAAAGTACTTGAAAATCAAAACACGCACCTCTAAATAATGTGGTCAATGTGCTGTATCAAAGGAATTTAGGAAATATTTTGGAATATTGGGAAATAATATAATATATATATAATAAACGCACATCTCTAAATTGGTAGGAATCAAGGAAGTCAGTGCCTCTAGAGAAACCTATGGCATGAAATGCTAACATGAGAAAACGTCTGCAAACAACTATCCAAGTTTTTACCTTAAGGAACTAAAAGCAGAAAAGGCAAGCAGAAGGGAGGGAATAATAAAGCAAGACCAGAAACCAATGAAATTGAAAACAAACTCACTTTTCAAATTGGACCAACTCAGATGAAGAGAGGATGTGAAAGAGAGGGGCAGCTTGGTTGGCCGCGGTTCGCTCTGCTTCCTGGTACTTTTCTGCATCCTTTTGTTGGCCTCACAAGACATGTTCCTTCGTGAGTGTTTCCTCTGCCCTCTCCTGGGAACTGGTGGGTTTGCGAACCAGCCTGAGCCTGGGAGGGAGGAGGGTAAGGTCATGCAGCCTGGACGGGTCCCCAACTGGCCGTGAGGGAGGAGGCCCCTGTGTCCCGGCTCTGCCTGGAAGCTGGGCCTCGTCCTGCCCTCGGCTGTGTGTGTCCCCAGGGAGCCCCTCCCATCCCAACACACAGCAGACCCTCACTGGTGACCAGGTGAATGAACGAGAGTGGATGGGGAGAAATGGAAATATCATCTTGGACGTTCCATGAGTACTTGAGTTTAGAAATCGCTAAATTCTGATTCCAGAATACCCTGTGAGGCCCTAGAAATGGAGCTGGGCTTGGTGTCCACTGCACGTGCTCACCCCGTCTTTAAGTAGGTACTGAATGGGCTTCTGCTCACGGTGGCCCGGGAATGGCGCTGGGAACTGCCGGTTCCGTGTTGAATGGAGGAGATAAACGTGTCCTCTGCCCGCAGGCCGGGGCTGTGGTGGTACGGGGCACAGGAGAGAGGGGGGCGCTAGCGGTTGGGGGTGCAGGTGGAGGCCTGGCAGGGAGTGCCCTCGGCAGAAGGGCCCAGACCCCGGGCTGGCTGGAGCTCAGTCTGTCGCAGGAAGGGAGGCCACCGAGGCTGGGTGGAGGACAGCAGAGTGGAGACCGAGGCAGGCAGTGATCTGTTCATTTCTGTACTTTTGTCATTTCAAGAATGTCGTGTAAGTGGAATCATAAAGTGTGTGACCTTTGGGGACTGTCTTTTTTCACTCAGCCGAATTCTCCAAGGTTCCTCCCATTGCTGAGAGCGTCAGCAGCTTGTTCCGCTTTGTGGCGGAGTAGGTTCCGCGTGTGCGGTCCCTGTCGCGCTGCCCCGGCAGGGATGCACCGTGACTGGCTAACCAGCCACTGGATGAAGGTGCTGCTTCCTGTTTTTGGCAATTACAGATAAAATCACAGCCTTTTGTGAGGGCATAAATTGTTATTGCTCTATAGTAAATGCCCAGGGGTGCCACCACCAAGTCGAATGGTAGTTGCGTGTTTGGTTTTCTAAGAAACTGCCAAACCGTCTTCCAAGTGCTCAGAGGCCGCATCTCCGCAGCATCCGAGTGGCCTGCCCGCCGCTCCGCGTGCTCTCCGGGCTTGGCGTGGCCACTGCTGTTTATTGTGGCCGCTGTGACACGTGAGTGTTGGCCCCTCCCGTGGTGTTAATTTGCATTTCCCTGATGGCTAATGATACTGAACATCTATCTTCTCATGTGCTTGTTCGCCACCTGTCTATCCTCTTTGGTGAAATGTCCATGTCTTGTGCCCATTTTCTAATTGGATTGTTTCGTGTTTACTGTTGAGTTTGATCATTATATATGCTTTAAACTAGTTCTGTGTTGGGTGTGTAGTTTGCAAATATTCTCTCCCAGTCTTGGCTTGTCTTTTCATCCTCTTAATATGTTTTTTGGCAAAGCACAGGTCTTTAGTTTTGACACATCTAATTTATCAGTTTTCCCTTTTGTATATCACGCTTTTAGTGTCAAGTCTAAGAATTCTGCCTTACCATGGACCCTTAGGATTTTTCCTTTTCTTTTCTGAAAGTTTCGTTGCTTTACGTTTTACATTTAAGTCTGTGATCCTTTTTGAATTAATTTTTATATAAGGTATAAAGTTTAGTTCAAAAAGTCCATTTTTGCCTACGGATGTCCAGTTGCTCCAGCACCATGTGTTGAAAAAGCTGTCTTTCCTCCGTTGAACTGCTTTTAGATCTTTGTCAAAAATCAGTTGGGCATATTTGTGTGGGTCTGTTTCTGGGTTCTGTATCTGCTCCATTGGTTTTCTCCACCAACACCACAGGCTTGATTACAGCAGCTGTATAATAAGTCTTGAAATCGGGGAGACCAGTTCCTTCTACTTAATTTTCCTTTGTCAGAATTGTTTTAGCTATTCTAGTTCCTTTGCCTTTCCGTATAGATTTTACAATGATCTTTTCTGTATCTCTGAAATTCTTGCTGGAATTTTAATAGGAATTATGTTAAAGCTGTATGTCAACTTGGAGAGAACTGACACCTTTACTATGATGAGTCTTGCAATCTGTGTTCTGTCTCTCCATTTATTTAGATCTTTAATTTCTTTCAACATTTTGTAGTTCTCAGCATATAAGTCCTACACGTTTTGTTAGATTTACACCTAAGTAGTTCATGTCATCTGCAAATAGGGACAATTTTATCTTTTCCTCTCATTACCTTTCCTGCCTTTTTGAACTGACTGAACTCCCCCGACTGTGTGAGTAATGGCCGTGAAAGGAGAGATGTTGTGACTTGCTCTAAGGGGAAAGGATTTAACCCTAAGTGTGATGTTGGACGAAGGTCTTTTTGTACATGCTCTTTATCGAGTTGAGGAAGTTCCCTTCTATTCCTGTGTTTTTTCCTGAGAGTTTTTATCACGAGTGGGTGTTGAATTTTGTCAAGTGCCTTTCTGCACAATATAATCCAGTGATATCTTCTTTAGGTCTGTCAATATGATTGATTACACGAGTTGACTTTTAAATACTGCACCAGCCTTGCATCGCTGGAAGAATGGGCATAGTGTATAATTCTTATTGTATACTGATGAATTCTATTTGCTAATGTTTTTAAAGGATTTTTGCACCAATATTCTTGAGGGCAGTTTTCTCCTTTTGTACCGTCTTTTGTACCATCTTCTGTACTGATTTTTGTATCAGGCTAATACTAGCTTCATCAAATGAATTGGAAACTTATTTCTCTTCTCTTCCGTTTTCTGAAAGAGATTATGTAGAACTGGTATTAATTCTTCTTAAAACTGTTGGTAGAATCCTCTAGTGAAACCATCTGGATCTGGAGAATTTTTGCAGGGGAGTTTTAAGATTATGAACCCAATTTCCTTAACAGTTATGTAGGGCTATTCAAATTATCAGTTTCATATTGGATGAGTTGTGGTAGTTTGTCTTTTTCAAAGAGTAGGTCAGTTTATCTAAGTCAATTTATTTGTGTAGAGCTGTTCTTAGTGTTCCTTTGTTATCCCTTTGATGTATGCAAGGTTCTTAGCAATAGCTCCTGATTCATTCCTTATAATGATGTTTTGTCTTCTTTCTTTGTCAGTGGTCCTAGAAGTCTGTCAATTTTATTGACCTTTTCAAAGAATCAGCTCTTTATTTTATTGATTTTCTCTGGTTTTTCTGTTTCCAACTTTAATTATTTCTGTCTTATTTCCTTCCTTCTGTTTGCTTGAATTTATTTTGTTCTTTTTCCAGATTCCTCAAATGAGAGCTTAGATTATTAGTCTGAGACTTTTTCTCTTTTCTGATATATGTATTTTGTGCTATAAATTTCCCTCTAGGCAGTGCTTTAGTTGTGATTTACAATTTTTGATATGTTGTATTTTTTTTCAGGTATGTATTTTTATTCAGGTATACATTATACATTCAGGTCAACATATTTTTATAACCCTTGAGATTGCCTCTTTGACCCGAGGATTATTTAAATGGGTGTTGTTTTAGTTTCCATGTGCTTGGAGATTTTTCTGTTATTTCTATTATTGATTTCTAGTTTGATTCTTTTGTGATCTGAGAACACACCATATGATTTTTTTTTTTTTTTTTTTTTTTTTTTTTTTTTTGCGGTACGCAGGCCTCTCACTGCTGTGGCCTCTCCCGTTGCGGAGCACAAGCTCCGGACGCGCAGGCTCAGCGGCCATGGCTCACGGGCCCAGCCGCTCTGCGGCATGTGGGATCTTCCCGGACCGGGGCACGAACCTGTGTCCCCTGCATCGGCAGGCGGACTCCCAACCACTGCGCCACCAGGGAAGCCCCACACCATATGATTTTGAGTCTTTTAAATTTGTTGAGGTTTGTCTTATGGCCAAGGATATGTTCTGCCTTGGTATATATTCTGTGTGTGTTCTGCTGGTGCCAGACGTGCTGTAAATGTTGACTAGGTCCAGTTAGTTGGTCGATGGTGGTGTGAGTTCTGTATCCCTGCTGGTTCTCTGCCTAGCTGTTCTTTCAGTTGCTGAGATGGTGTGGAAATCTCCAGCTATAATTGTGGATTTCTGTATTTTTCCTTTCAGTTCTGTCAGTCTTCACATATGTCACTGTCCTAGTGTTGGATTCATACACTTTTAGGATTGCTTGCTATTGCTTCTTCACGGGTTGACTCGTCTTTATATAATGCCTCTCTCCATCTTTGATGATTTTCATTGCTCTGAAGTCAACATTACCTGGTATTACTATAGCCACTCCTGCTTCCTTTTGGTTAGTGGTTGTGTGACACATCTTTTCCGATCAGTTTATTTTCAGTCTGCTTACATCTTTCTATTTGAAGTGAATGAGTTTCTTATCGACAGCATATGGTTGAGTCATTTTTCTTAATCCACTCTGCCATTCTGTTTTCTTAATTGGTAAATTTAGACTATTTACATTTCATGTTATTATTGAGATGTTAGGGCTTCAGTGTGCCATTTCGTTTTTTGTTTTCTGGTTTTTCTCCCTATGTTTTGTTTCTCTGTTTCCTTATTTCCTGCCTTCCTGTGGGTTACTCAACATTTTTTTAATAATTCCATTTTGACTTATTGACAGTGTTTTTGAGTATCCCCTTTGTGCAACTTTTCAGTGTTGCCCAGATATTACATTATATACATATAACGTAGGTGCTGTGCTCTTGAAAGGAGGCATTGCCTCCACTTCCTCACCATTACCTCCCACGTCTGCCCTGCCCCCAACTCACTGCCTCCTCCCGATTTCTTTCACAAAAGGAGAAAAGCAGGCCCGGGGTTATGTGGTTGGTTCGTTCCTATTACTGGCAGCCTCCCAGAATTCCTAACAGATCGAGTGGGGGAAGAGTTGGAGTGGGATTATGACCAGTGGCTCCCAAACATGGCCTTGCTCAAAAGGAGTCTGGAGAACCTTAAATGCAGCTTCTAGGACCACCTGGGTCTCCTGAATCGGGCTCTGAGGGGTGGCACACACACACCTCGACTTCAGTGCCAAGGCCTCCATGCTCTGTCATTGTAAGATGGCCAGGTGAGCCCTAGGCCACCAGCTGAGCCTTGGGATACCAGGTGCATCAGTGTCTCCTTTCCCAGACCTGAATCTTGCAGGTACACCACCCTCCTGGGATGGGATGAACTGTGTAGCCACTGCCCTCTGAGCAGTTCTGGGAGTTGGGGCAACAGTCCTTCTCAGAGCTCCCCCCAGGAGCACACACAGCCCCCAAGTGCCGCTGCCTGAGGACTCAGCCTGGCCTGTGACTGACACCCAGAGGGCTCCACATTGGGTGGGGGTGTCTCCTCCCGTTCCTCTGGCTCCTGTCTCACCATAAGGATTCCTTGACAGGCCCCTCCCTCCCTCAAAAAGGTGCCCTGTTTACTTCTCTTTGTAAGACAGCACAGTGCCTGGAGCTTAGTAATTGCCCAGGAAATATTTGTTGAATTAACAAAGTTATTTATTACCAATTACCTACGAGGCAAATTTCAACCTGCATCTTGCCTTTATGTGTTCTTGTAGGAAAGGACAGGGGCGGGGAGCAGCCAGCACTGGCTCTGGTACTGGTCTTTGACGCCCTGTCTCCTGTGCCCTATCCAGCAGGGCTGTGCCACAGCGGGGGGGCGGGGGGGGGCGTGTGGCTTCACCAGGCAAGCGTCCCTGGAGGGGCCATCAGAGGCGTTCTCAGGAGTCTTCCTGTTGGGCTGCTGAGCGGCAGGATAGACTTCTGCAGTGACCAGGCACTTGGCATCACAGGTAACTTCACCTCCTGCCAGCTTCCTAAATGCAGCTTCAGCAGTTTACCCAGAGCCACCCATTGATGCTGACTTCCTAAATCCACCAGGAGTTTTAAGTGAAAAGTAAATGAGTGTATTTTACACACGTGAACAGAATCTGTACATGTGATGATTATAAAGTTAGCATGTCGAATAGCCCTTATGTTTGCTTCCCGAATGGACACCGAGAGGTGGTGGCTGGTAGGGGGCAGCAGAGTCGAGGCCGGAAAGCTCAGAGGCTCTGCGGGGCCAGCGGAGCGGGAGAGGGGCATACTCGTCAGATGCAGGCACGCTCCACAACTGCCAGCGACGGCAGCACAGACGCCACGCCCTCTGTGTGTGTTTCCTTTGACTGGAGAAGAGTCCACTCACACAGCCTGGGTATGTTTAGAAATCGTCAGGATTCTGCCGTCCACCCCATCCTGCCCAGATCTGAGTGGGGGGACTGTCGGCCGGGCTCGGCGGGGCTCCTCCAGACTGAGGCTGGTCTTTTCTGCAGGCGGGCTCCGCAGCCTGGACCAGCTGCGCAGCGAATGTGAGGCTCCATCTGCTCCCCTAGTGTCACGTCAGCCCGTTTTCCCTCCCAAGGGAATCACAGCGCCCCCGGGAGACCCGCTCACCCCGCCGCTCGCCTGGACCTTAGTCTCCCCACCAAAGTGCAAGCGGCAGGACTTGGAAATGGCCGCAGACACGTGTTGCTGGACGTGCCCCTCGGCTCTGAGTGTACACCATCTGTGGCCCCAACGTCCTTGAGGGAAGGACACGAGGTTTTATATAGACACAGGGGATTGCAGTGTCACAAAACCTGCCTCCATCCCCCCAGATCTCCCCAGCCTGGCATCCTGGGGCAGATGCCCTTGAAAACCAGGGGGCTCTCTTACACGTGGATGTAGCACGTGGCTGCTTCTGCCCTGCCTGGGCGTTGAGGCCAGCTCCTGGCCCTGGTTCCCCCGGTGACCTCAGTGCAGGACCCACACCAGGGCAGCCGGAGTCCTTCCTCGGGACGCCACAGATGTGGACTGAGTGTCCCTTCCCGGTGCTGGGTGACATCGGCTGAGGACACTGGGATCTGTGGCAGGGCGCCTGCAGGCTTTCTGCACAGGAGAGATCAGAGCAAATGTGAGACCTGGGCTGCGGGGGAAGGGCTGCGGGTTCCCATCCCGGGCCTTGTCCCTGCGGCCACCCTTTCCTTAACTCTAGCCTCAGGCTTTGCGTCAGCGGGACGAGGTGACTCGTGTCCTCCAGCCGAGGAGCCAAGCAAAGCAGTCGAAATGGATTTGTGTCTCCCATGCACTGGAAGCGGGTGGTCAGATTTGGATGATTTCCTTATAGATGGGACTGAACCGAGGAGGGCACCCTGGCCACGTGCAGGATCCCGCCCGTGAAATCGGGAAGAATCGTGCGGCTCAGAGACAGGCCGGGCCTGCAGGTTGGTCTGAGGCAGTGCCTAGATCTCCTCCACCCTTGGCTGGTGGGTGTTGGCTGTGCTGCCCCCGGAAGTGACCAGGTGCCGCCGGCACTCACTCTGTGACCCACACGGGAAGTGCTCTCGTCACTGTCACACGGTGTCAGGGCTGCATTCCACTGCCTGGCCCTCGACCCAGAAACGATGACAGTTATACAACCAGGGGACACGGACACTGATGTCATCGTTATGACTATACAGCCTGTGTTCAGGAAGCAAGAGGAAGGTCGAGTGTGTTCAGTGGAGACGTGATGACACAGAAAAGGATGCGTGCCAGGCTTCTGGGGGTGACACTGCAGGATCCGAGATGCCAAGTGCACTGGATGGTCAACAGCAGAGCGGCCCATCCAGTGAGTCAGAGGAGAAATGGCACCTCACGGAGTGAGACTCAGGGACAGAGGGCAGAGCCTGACATGCCTGCAGATGGAGGCCCTCCCTGCGCGGGGAGCAGAATATATACTCGAGCAAACAATGGCTGCAATTTTCCGAATTTGATGAAAATTCTAAGACTGCAGATCCAAGAAGTTCAGTGAAGCCCCAAGAAGAAAAACACAAGGCACAGCATAATAACATAATTGCTCAGAGCCAGTGATTAAGAGAAACACCTTTAAATATGCTAGAGAAAAGGAGGTTACGTTCAGAGGACAAAAGGGAGACTGCCGTAGACCCCTCCGGACACAGTGCGGTGAGGAGGGAAGGGCAGCACGGCCCACCTGGAATTCTGCACCAGGTGAGACAGGCTTCAAAAGAAGGTGACTGTCCAGACACACCCAAAGCTGAGAGAACTCATCACCAGCAAACCTGCCCCACACAAATATTAAGGGAAATTCTCACAGTAGAAGAAAAATGATAGCAGAGCTACATGGTTGAGCATGAAAGACACTTTTGTTATTATCCAAATCCCTTTATTGGGATCAATCCCTAATTGATCCCTTTATTGGGATCAATCCCTAATTGACTGTTTAAATTTCAAAAATAAAGTACTGTAGGATCTATAACATAGGTGGAACTAAAATGTGTGGCAGTAACAAGGCAAAGGCCGAGAGGAGAAAGGAGAACACGCTGCTGTCGGGTTGTCCTGCACCCGTCAGGTGGCGACGCCACAGCTTACGGGCTGAGTCAGGTTAGAGGTCTGTGCCTAAGCCCTGAAGCCACTGCCTGGGTGACAAAACCCAGAGTGGAGACTAGTAAGTGAATGAAGGAGACGAGGTGGAATCACAAAGTGTATGCAATTAATCCAAAATGTGGCAGAGGAAACATAGACACGGGGGAACGAAGAACAGATGGTGAAAGCAGAAAACAAATAGTGGAATGATAGACCTAAACTCAACCATATCAACAATCACTGTGAATAGTCCTAACACCCCCAATTAAAAGGCAGATTGTCGAAAAAGATTAAAAAGTTTCTTGGAGGCAACTATATGTTGCCTCCAAGAAACTCACTTTGAACATAAAGACACAAATAAATTAAAAATAAGAGGTGGAAGAAGAGACACCATGCTAACCCTAATCAGTAGTAAGGTCGGGCGTCTGTATTAACGTCAAAGTAGATTTCAGAGCCAAGAATATTACCAGAGATAAAGAAGGACCTTCCATAATGGTAAAGGGCTCAATTCATCCACAGAACATAACAATGCTAGATGTTACGATGCTAACGATGGAGCTTAAAATACATGAAGCAAAAAAAGATAGAACTGCAGGAGAAACAGACAAATCCACAATCACAGTCAGAGACGTCAGCATCCCTACTCAATATTGGGATAAACGGACAGAAAAGCATGCCCAGCCGTCTAGCTCTAGTGACATCTGTAGAACATCCCACCCAGTCACACAAGATAGACCACGTTCTGGTCCATAAGCAATTCTCAATCAATTTAAAATATCTCAAGTATTACAAAATATGCTGTCTAACTTTAATGGAATTAAATTTGAAATCAACAGAAGAAAGCTATCTAGAAAATCTCCAAATATTTGAAAACTCGATAACACACGTCAAAATATCCCACGAATCAAAAAAGAAATCAAAAGAGAAATTAAGTCTTTTGAAATGAGTGGACAAAAAGCACAAATATAAAACTTTGTGGGATGCAACGAAAGCCACATGTAGAGAGAAATTTATAGAACTAAACATTGTATTAGGCCAAAAGTAAGATTTTAAATCCATGCCACCAGCTTCTTCCTCAAGACACTAGAAAAGAGGAATAAATCGTGGACCCTGCCCCTGTGTCAGGACTTGGTAACAAATGGGGTGGGTCGGCGGACCATGTCTGCTTCTCCTCTTCCTCTCATCAAGTGGAGTAAAATACATTAAATCCCCAGCATGAGGAGGACAGAAAGAGGGGTCCTCGCTGGCGAGAGGGATCTGCCGGTTTCTGGACACCGAGTGTGGGGAGGAGTGAGTCTCAGGAGAGGCTTTTCCTGATGAACTGGCCGCCTGGCTGGGTGTGGACGGCTGTACCCACAGGAGTGCAGCTGCTGCTTCCTGCAGAGCGTCCCTGGCAGCCACAGAGGTGGGAAGCAGGCCCAGCACACTTGGGGTGGCCTCTGATGGGAGGTGTCCCGGGTCCTGGCGGGATGGCCAGAGGATGCCCCCACCTTCCCGGCGCCCCTCGCCTGCCATCTCAGGGTGGGTTCTTCAGGGTCGGGGGTACTGAGTCCGGTTGACCTGAACAGCCCCTGGGGCTGCTTCTGTGGCCAGGGTCCACAGAGGCCTGGGATGCCCACTCGTGGCCACGTGAAGCAGGCCGGCGCTCACTGGCCCGTGTGACTGATGGTGGCTGACAGCCTGCAGCCTGGAGCGCCCCTGGCGCTCACTGACCCACTTTCTCCACCGTGGGCTGGAAACATTTACATAACAGATGGCCCCAGACCCTGGAGGAGATGTTTCTAATTAAAAAGGAGGCTCGGCGTCCCCGCCTGGACTCCCCCCCGCCGTCCGGTTCATCGGTGCAGGTACCTTAGCCTTGGCACGCACCCTGAGCTTAGGAAGGGCTTTGCAGGGCTGCTGCAGGGTGTCTGCGTGGCAGGGAGCCGTGTCTATTTGGTGCCACTCCGATCGTTTGAACTCGGGCCTGGACCCTGTGCGGACCTTGGGCGGGGGCCTCTTGGCTTTGTCCTCCACACAGTCAGGCTGAGTCACCTGCACACGCGCCTCCCTCTCCAGCCGTCCTCAGGCCCGCTACTGTGACCATTCCTTGCCTGTAAATCTTAAAACGGAGCCTAAATGTTGCCTGGAGGGCGAAGTGCTGAACCGATACACTGCAGAAATTATACAATAAGCGGACCCGTGCTATGGGATGTAAAGCATTTTCTGAAAACTTTCTAAAGGGGGACTCTCAACTGTTTGGCCGTTTAGTTAATAGAGACTGAATCCACTTTAGAACGAGGATAACTAAGGAATCTCGACTCTAGACATAAAGGGAACACAGATCTGTAATCTCCTGGCTTTTTAAGGGTGAAGGGGAGGATTCTGGCACCAGCGTGGTGGGAAATGGGCAGACCCAAGGTGACAGCAGAGCAGACACTCCCCAGACACACAGGGGTCCCCAGGCTTGCTGGTCACCCCTTTTCCCCTCCAGAGGCTGAGGGAGCTGGTCTGGGGTCCCTCATCACAGAGGTGACACTGAGGCCCAGGACCATGCGTCAGTCAGCACTGATGCCAGGTCACTCGCTGGCAGGCTTTCCCTGAGGCCCATCCCCCCTGCCATGTACCCCAGGCCCCCACAGGTGCCACACCTTGAGTGCCGGGACCAGCCCTTCCTCACGCTGACTGGGGTGCCCAGGAAGCCTCTGCCTTTCCCCAGCAGCGATGCTGAAGGCGGCAGCCCACCGACCCACCCACCCGCCCAGGCCCGGTCGTACAGGCCCGGTCACCTGACGTGTGCCTTCCCTTGCCAGGTGACACCATCTGGGCCCCATCTGTCCTTCCTCACGGCACCCTCGGCACCTTGAGCCACCACCCCCAGCTACATTTTGGAAGAAAGATGGAGTCCAAGGTCTCAGAAGGTGGCCTGAACGTGACGCTGACCATCCGCCTGCTGATGCACGGAAAGGTATGGGGGCGGGAGAGGGGAGGGGAGGCACGCCCCCCGCAGGGGTCTCCGTTTCATATGAGGCCTTTTAAATTCTAAGCAATCTCCGACTCCAAATGACGTTTCTCCCAGAACCTTTCGAGGCTGAGCTGCCCGCCTGCTGCCCCATCCCCTATGCCCTAGTGTGTATTTTCTACACGCGAGGGCATTCTCCTCCAGGACACTAACACTGATGCACACGTGCCGGCCAGGTGGCTAGGGCCCCACTCAAGTGCACCGGTCATCCCAGGGCTGCCCTTCAGACAGGCGCTCCCCACGCTTCCTTTGCCTTTTGCTTTGAAAGCAAAGTTCCCACCCAGTTCTTTTGTAGAAAGAATGTCCCTCACTTTGGCTTTTTCTGACGTTTCCTCACCATTGGCAGGAGTGTCACAGAAGCTTTCCTATCAGGTAGTCCAGATTTCAGGGTGTCACTTGGTGGGGGGCACCTGCTGGGCATCTCCCCAACTCCTCTTCCACAGTCATCAGGGCGTCTTTGCTGGCGGGTACTTAGGTGCTGCATGAACGTCCTGTGTGCCACCCTTGCTTCATTCATGGCTTCCTGGACGCGGGGTTTGCTGTTTTGTTCACATCACCCCCCACGCTGTCCCCACACTGTCCCCGCACTGTCCCCACACTGTCCCCGTGCTGTCCCCACACTGTCCCCGCACTGTCCCCACGCTGTCCCCACGCTGTCCCTGCACTGTCCCCGCACTGTCCCCACGCTGTCCCTGCACTGTCCCCACACTGTCCCCGCACTGTCCCCGCACTGTCATTATTAGTTTTGATGCTCACATTGTCCCTGACTTGGCGTGGTTGCCCCACCAAGCTGGCGTGTGTCCTCCTGGGGGGCCCCACCGTTCTGACTGCACATCCTCTCTGCACACCACTGTTGCTCATCCTTACTTTCCTGCTGGTCCTGGAATCAGCCATTTCTGTAGAGAACCCAACTCTCTTGAGTGGAGGATGGTGGGATGGTTTTAGAGCCCAGAGGTGGGCACATGGGGTACTCACGGCTTTGGGGCTACTGTGGGCCCCAGACAGAGCTAGGGAATATGTGTTTGTGTGTGTGCACGCACGTGTGTGCTTGTGTGTGTGGGTGTGTGTAGAATCATACACACCTATGTCTGCGCACATTTGCATATTTATCTCTAAACTGGGCTCCCTGAGTTCACACCCCCTATTCCAGTCCAATAGCACAGGGTTCATCCTGGCTCCTCTGTCTGGTGTTTGTACCATGAGAAACCCAAGGGACGGTAGAGGCTGGCATAGTGCCTGGGGCACTGCCCTCCCTAGATTTCCGGAAGCTGGTGCTCACACCTAGAGCCTCCCCTTCCGTGATGGAGGGATGCTGACGCCTTTGCCGCTCCCAGGGTGGGTGGCATTTGGTCAAGTTGTCCGGGGCTGGGTGTGTACCGTGGAGGACAGTCTGAGGTCGGATGCACGGCCCCGCCTCCAGCTGCTGCCACAGCAAGCACCAAACCCTGCCCCTGGGAGGCGAGGCGGCCTGACTGCCGGAGGGGCCGCCACCCCGCGCCTGGCTGCCCTTTGCTGCACACGGCCCTCCTGGCCTCGCGGAACTGAGGCGTTTCCCCAGGACACTGTGATCGCTGAGGGCTTCACTGTAGTAAGGAAGATGAGTTTGATTGTGGAAGCTGCTCTCTGCAGCTAGAAGCAGGCTGGCCACGCCTCCCTGAGGTGCCATGGCGGAGCCTTGTGGGTCTGTCCCAGGCAGGGAGGTGCTGCGACGGGCAGTCCTGGCCGGGAGCGCGTCTGAACCATTGCGGGCCCCGGGCTTTAGAACCATGGCGGTGTGCTCAAGAGTCTTTCAATGTTCTACCTTTTTTTAAAAAAGTCAAAGAGCAATAGCAGCGCTAAATTTTTATGCATCACAGAATCACTGGGGGAGATTTTATCTCTCATCCATTTCTTGCAGGGTTTCCTTGAGGCCTTAAGTGCACAGGTGATACCTGTTGACATGTTTATCTGGAAAGCAGCTGGCCATTCTCTTTCTCTTTGTCTGTCTGTCGGTCAGAGGCAGGGCAGCCTGCCTGCCTGCTCCCTCCTGACCGTCCAGTCTCCCTTCCTCACTCATGACTCGGAAGCTGGACGGCCTCGCGGCGCCTATCACAGGATTTATGCTCCTTCTGCTCTATGACATCATCTTTCTGTGATTCTTTTCCTACAGGAAGTTGGCAGCATCATCGGGAAGGTAATTATTTTTTTTATTTTTATTTTTTTGGCTGCCTCGGGTCTTCGTAGCTACGCGCGGGCTGTCTCTAGTTGCGGTGAGCGGTGGCTTCTCTTGTTGCAGGGCACGGGCTCTAGGCACGCAGGCTTCAGTAGTTGTGGCACGTGGGCTCAGTAGTTGTGGCTCACGGGCTCTAGAGCGCAGGCTCAATAGCTGTGGCGCACGGGCTTAGTTGCTCTGCGGCATGTGGGATCTTCCCAGACCAGGGCTCGAACCCGTGTCCCCTGCATTGGCAGGCGGATTCTTAACCACTGCACCACGAGGGAAGTCCCAGGAAGGTAATTATTGAGTGAACTCTGCCTCTACCAGGGTATCTCAGAGGCACAGTGAGGTGTGGACCAGCCCTGTGCAGGGGGTGAACTGCGCACGGTGCGGGATCCCGCGCACGGTGGGGATCCCGCTGGAATCCTGCCCTGTCGCCTTCAGGCTGCACCCCTATGAGGCTGGTCGCAGAGCTTCCCGTTCTCCAGCCCTGTGGGAGCTGGGGAGTCACCCCCCGAGGCAGCCCTGCTGCCCACCTGCCCTGGTGGCCAGTCATTCCTCCCAGGTTTGAGAGCTCAGGACCAATTCCCACGTGCATTCCTGGGAGCAGTCTCCCACCTCCAGCCTGAGTGGTGGTGAGTCCATTCACAAAGAAACGTTCCCCTGGGGAAAGTGAGCACTGGTTTGGAAGCTGGGTGTGTGTAGGAGAGAGGTGGGCCAGGACCCCGCACCCCCATTCCTTGCGACCGTCTCTGGCTTCGCTGGTCCCTTGTGGTCCCTGAATTGTGGGGGAGCCCCCGGAGCTCAGAGTCAGGCTTCTTTTCACAAGTTCTTCATGGGATCGCCCGAGGACCTGGTCCCCGCTTTGCCGGCGGTGAGGCTGGGGGACGGGTGCAAACCCGCCCCGTGGAGCAGGTGCCCAGGCCAAACGTGGAGCTGCATTGGGTCCCTGGGGCCAGGTCTGCCCAGCCCACAGCCTGTGCCCTGGGCGAGGTGGCGGGCCGACTGGGGAGTCACGCATGTCAGGCCTGGAGCCAACCTTCAAGGGCTGGGGCGCCCAGCCTCCTGTGCTTGTGGTGGAAGCCCGAGTGACCCCCTCCCTTGTCTGAACTTCTGTTCCAGAAAGGAGAGACCGTGAAGAAGATGCGTGAAGAGGTGAGTTGGCGCCCTGAGCCGCGTGCTGTTTCTGGGAGGGCAGGAGGGAGGAGGCCAGGGCCTCCTAGCAGCTCTGTGCCCAGCCCCACGCAGCCAGGACCCACCAGGAGCCCCGCATGGCAGGGATGTGAGCGAGGGGTGGCCATACGGAGCCCCGAAGCGCACACCAGCAGTTCAGGTGCCCTCCCAGTCACGACCGGGCCACAGCCAGCACAGTAGGACAGGACCGGCCATCGGTGCTGAGGCTCGGGTGCCACCAGCCTGCACGAGTCCCCGGTGGTCAGTAGGCCCTAGGATCCAGCCTACTGCCGGCCCCAAGGCTTTAATCCAGTTTCTGGGGTCTGCGTATCTCCCTCCCAGAGCGGGGCAAGGATCAACATCTCGGAAGGAAACTGCCCAGAAAGAATCGTGACCATCACGGGCCCGACAGACGCCATCTTCAAGGCCTTTGCCATGATCGCCTACAAGTTTGAGGAGGTAAGGGGTGCCCCTGGGGAGCCCTGTCCCAGAAGAGGGGACCTCTCAGCCCCTCTGCCTCCTCTGCCTCCCCGGGGACTGCACCCTCCGGTCCACCTGGTGACAGACCAGGGTCCCTCCTCCCCCAAGGCCCCCCTACCTCACTGAGCGGTCCCTCGGGGCCTGCCCCCAGACCACGAGTCCTCAGGGAAGGCCTGGCACCGGCAGTGAGGCGGCCACGTCCAGGCCTCAGCCCTGTCCACAGCAGCTGACCCCCAGTGTGTTTAGCTTGGCTCAGATGTGGACGGACAAAGGGAGAGCCAGGCCCGGGAAACCTACGCGAATTTGTGTGTCTGTGCGCCTTTGTGTGCGTCTGTCAATGAATCCGACGTTAAGCTTTTTATGTGTTCCGGAGATTTCTGAAATTGCTGAAAGTTATCTGGAGATGCATTTGGTGTCTTTACTGGAAGGGTGATCAAGCCGGGGAGTAGGTCCTTCTGTCAAATGGATCCCCCTCTGTCCAAGCCCCTCTCTGCCCGCCAGGCCTTAGGGACAGAGGTCGGACCCTGAGTCCAGGCACCCTGGGCGTCTGCGCCCCACCCTGCGGCAGCAGCGCGACTGCACAGACGTGCACGCCTGGGGGTCCCCTTGTGTTCTCCAGCCGCCCCCCCCGTCCCCTGAGCCTGGCCCGGCCTCGCAGCCCCTGTGAGCAGCCCAGCCCGGCCACCGTGTCCTCCCGCTGTTCACCCTCAGCCGTTTGCCATCGTGCTTCTGCCTCCCCCTCGTCCTCGTCTCCCCCACCCCTGACAGGGAGCCTGCTAGGCTCTCGCGGCCGACGCACGTGCCTCTCCCTCCCCAGGACATCATTAACTGCATGACCAACAGCCCGGCCACCAGCAAGCCCCCGGTGACGCTGAGGTTGGTGGTCCCCGCCAGCCAGTGCGGGTCCCTGATCGGCAAAGGCGGCTCCAAGATCAAGGAGATCAGGGAGGTAACGAGCCCTCCCCGCCCGGGAGCCGAGCGCCAGGCGGTCAGGATGTCCCTAGAGCAGAGCACTAGCCGGGTCCCTGCAGACCCTGCAGCACAGAGCTTGCGGCAGGGGAGGGACGAGCCACAAGGCAGAGTGACCGTGGGAGCCCCCACTGTGGGCGTCACGCAGAGGAGCCCAGGCCTGACTCCTGGGACGCGGCCGTGGCACCCCTCCACCCAGTCCTGGGCTCCAGGGCACGGGCTCTGCTCCCCAGGAGGCCCCTGCTCCCACTGCCAGGCCCCGTTTCCTGAGAGTCGCTGAGCCGTCCCAGCTGGGGTGGGGCTTGCCTGAGGAGCCCACCTTACCTTCACAAGTTGCTCTCCCAAGGAAAGCCCGAGGCCTTCCCTTCCCCAAAGGATGGCAGCCCCCAGGCTTGATTCCTTCCAGGAAAGACGGCCACTCGCTTTAGGCCCTGTGACTGGGATCCATCTTTCTCTGTGACCTCAAACTCCACAGAGAGAGAGAATTCCACATATTTGAAAAAAACTCTGCCTCCTGAGATGCCGCTTCCACACCCAGCGTCGCCCGCCCTGCTCCAGGTCCGCGGTGCCCTGGCAGCGGCGGGCTGAGCTGGATGGGGCTGCCCCAGGGGCTCCAGACGGAGCGTGCAGAGGGCGTGGGGGGGCGACCTGGGGCAGCGTCGGGGGGTGTCCCAAGGCGTGCTGTGCCCTCGACGCCCCCGGGGGCACCCAGGAAGTGCCGCTGCAATGCACACTGCCCCACTCGGTGGGGCCCCTTCCAACGTCTGGTCTCTCCAGTCCACAGGTGCCCAGGTCCAGGTGGCCGGGGACATGCTGCCCAACTCCACGGAGCGGGCAGTGACCATCTCGGGGACCCCCGACGCCATCATCCAGTGTGTCAAGCAGATCTGTGTGGTCATGCTGGAGGTACAGTCTGTCCACAAGTCCAGGGCTCCTCGCCAGCCTGCCCCTCACTCCGTGCCGGCCGGGGCTTCTGAGCGTCAGAGGCCTCGGGGCCCTGAGGCTTCATGTGGTCAGGGCCGCGTGAGGGCGGGCCTCGGGACGGCCTGAGTGAGAGCTGTCCTGGGGTGCAGGCTCCGTGGGAGGGCAGCCGCCGGCTCCGGCCACCTCGGGTGGGTCGGTCATCTTCACTGGGGACCTGGGGGGCGAACAGAGAACGTGGGGAGCGTGAGCCCCTCCCCTCATTTCTGGAGTTGGATAAAGGGTTAGCAGTCCGTGGTGTGAGGGGCATTCAGCAAAGGGTCAGTCCTTAAAAGTGGTGCAGGTGTGCCCTGGGGCCAGGTCCGGGCTGGAGATGCAGATGGAGTGAAGAGGCCCACGCCATGGACAGGACCCCACTGCGTGGGCCCAGCCTGCGGGCATCAGAGACGCCGCCGAGGTACAATGGGCAGGACTTAGGAAAAACACACGAAAACGCCCCAACTTTGAAGACAGAAAGAAGTAAACAAAAGGATTAACCAAAGGAGAAGCAAGGAAGGCACAGCTGAGCAGGAAAAGCCTCTCTTGAAAATCTGAGGGAAAAAAACCCAAGATTGAAGTTTCAATCAATACCCAAACTGCTGCAAGATTAATTGAAGCTATCAATAATAGTTGCTGGTCTTTCTTAAGCTAAAATCAAGTCATCGTGCCTCAAACGAAAGGTTTCAATACCTGTGCTGGTGGCCCGGCCCCCTGGGCCCTCCTCCCCCCATGCCCAAAGCAGTCTCCCCCAGGAATTAGCCTCGGGGGGGCGGGGGCAGCAGTGGGTTCTCCCTCTTTTGTACTTGACTTGGTGTTAAAGCACCATGTCCAACTCCTTAGAAAAAAATTTGTATCGCTTTTATTTTCCTGAAGTATGATGTTGGGAAATCAAAAATATTTTTCTAGATATTTTGTTCTGAAGCTCTCCCCACACGCTGGTCACGGTGAGGATCTGTGTCCTCTTCAGTCCCGGCGCTGGGACCGCGAGGGGCCGTGAGGGTGGGTAGCAAGCAGGGCCTGGCACCCCTAGTGTGGCAGATGCCCAAGCGGCCTGGTGGGCGGCAGTGCCCGGGCGAGGCGGGGTGACGTGAACCGCTCCAGGAGGGACGCCGCCTCTGATGTCCCCGACGAGGTCAGAACAGGACATGTGGGCTCCTCAGGACCCCTCTCACGTGGCCTTGCTTGTGCCACGTTTGTGGTCAGACGTGACCCCACAGGAGAGCTTGACCCCGTTGGCTGCGGGGCGCTGGTGCCCACAGGGCTGTGAAACGGTGAACGCTGAAGCACACGGGCAGGAGTGATCGGTCCTCGAGGGACGGGGACTAAGCCTCCTGCCATTGGTGTCACAAAGCCCCCGGAGGCCAGAGCAGCCACTTATGAGGGAGGAAGCATCACCGCAGCTAGGAGCCCCTGGTCCGATGTTAAATGAAGAGTGACTGGAGTTTCGGCCTCTGGGGTGGGGGGCTCCACCCATGAAATCACTACCAAGGGAGGGAGGGGCTGCTCAAGGAGTGGCGGGTCGGTGGAGAACGCGAGGGTCGGGGCTGCAGCCCTGGGTGGGGGGGCGTGTGCTCAGAAGCCCTCCCTCCACCAGAGATCAGCTCAAAGGGAACTGGGCGTCATGGCCATCAGGGCCAGCGGAGGGTGGGCACTGCCGTCAGCGGGGTCGGAGTGCACCATGGAGCAAGGTGACAGTTGAAGCTGAGAAGTGGGGAGCCCACCCCCCAGCTCAGGGATGGAGTGGGGTCAGCAGCGGAGTCCTCCTTTCGCAGCGGACCGAGTCCTCCTTTCACAGCGGAAACGGTCACTCAGGGTAGTCACGCTTCCTGCCCGGTGACCCCTAATCACCCTGAGACCACAGAGAACCCCGCTGCAGAGGCACCTGGACACGACCTCAGACGAGCCGGAGACGGGAGGACAGGAGCCCAGCGTCACCCACACGCGGTCAGCACACAGGTCTTTGAAGCAGCCCCTCGTGCTCTCCACAAGGTCACGCAGAAGGCCAAGGTCACACAACGTGTCAAGGTCACGCAGAACATCCAAGGTCACACAGCAGGCCAAGGTCACATGGTGTGTTCCAGGTCACACAGCAGGCCAAGGTCACACTGTGTTCAAGGTCACACAGCACACATCCAAGGTCACACAGTGTGTTCAAGGGCACGCAGCATGGACAAGGTCACATGATGTGGCCTGGGCTGCAGAGTTGAAGCTGCCAACCCCTCTGCTGTCCCCACCTCCCTGTGTGTGTCTTGGGTTGGGTCACTCTGAGGTCACACTGCCTGGTGGCTGGGCCTGGGTGGGCAATGGCCGCAGGAAGTCCCAGCAAAGACAGGCCGCCCTGGTCCCTAAGCTCTGTCTCTGGCTGGTGGTGCTGCTGACTCAGGACTCCCGACAACAGCCCGGGCCCAGCCCTGTGGACTTTGCTCCCAGGGAAGACGGTCACCCAGGCAAGGGGACAGGGGAGGCCTGATGGCTTCTGACCAAGGGGTCTGGTTGACATCCTCAGAATCTGGCCGACTTCTGGTGCGTGAGAATATCGTTCACCCCAAGATATGAACCCTATACTTTTGGACACAGAATAATGAAAGGAAATTGTAGCAAATTGCATCACGACTGTGGACTATCTCATTGGGACTCTGAGGTGCATTAAATGGCGGCTCTTTTCTTAAACAGTGAAGTTGGATGTTTCTCACTCTCCTGTGGCTATGCCGACTGAACGTCAGCCCAGGCCACGCGAAGCCCCGGCACTGGCACCGAGCCCCCGGGGGCTCTTTCCCGAGGACTGAAGGAGGGGCCGTCCCTCTCAGAACGCGGCGCGGGCGCGGGCGGGGGCGCGTCCACCCGCCTCACCCGCCACCCGCCGCCTCCTGCTGCGGCTGTGTGTAGGGCGGTGGTCCCTGGCGGACCTGGGGGCTGGGGAGGGCGGGGGCACGGGGGGGTCGGAAGGAGGCCTCACGACTGCCCGCTGCGAAGCTGCTCTGACGCTCTCTCTCCCTCTCCTGTCCCTTTTCCTAGTCCCCACCGAAAGGTGCCACCATTCCCTACCGCCCAAAGCCCGCCTCCACCCCTGTCATTTTTGCAGGTGGTCAGGTAAGAGCCGAGCCGCTCTCGGCCTCCACTGCCAACCTCAGCCTCTTACTGCAGCCCCCGCCGCTGCCCGTTAGTGCACTCAGGTTTTCTCCCTCCTCACGTGCACGTGTCCCCCGCGCACGCTGGACGCAGAGCTCTCCCGGCACGCAGCCGGCCCTGGGGTGGACGCGGGCCACCGCGAGAGAGACCCACCAGGCAGCATCCGTGGACAGAAAGGGCCGAGGCGGACGCCCTGTGGCGTCCGGGCCCAGGAGGACCCTGGTCCGGGCTCAGGCCTGCTTAGCCGGGCAGCACCGCCCGAGTCTAGCTTCCTGGTGTTTTTAGGAAGCTCAGAGGCAGCAAGGGCTGGGAGCGTTACCAGGGGTTTTATGACTCCTGGTTGAGGCAACTACGACTGTGAGAACTGGCCCCATCTCCCCTGAAATACACGTTCCCAACTTCCCACACACGAGTTCCGCCCAGGAGCACGTGAGGGAGAGACAAGGACAAAGGGGAGGCCAGCTGGGCGTCCCGTTATAGGGACGACCCTCTCTCTCCACCCTGCCCCACGCTGGCCGCAGGCCCAGCAGGCCGGCCATGGCCACTTCACACACCTGCTGTTTTGGTGGGAGCCCCTGAGCTTTCTCTCCTGCCTGGGAGGGCCTGGAAACCAGGGGTCACGGAGATTTCTGTCTGAGGCCAGTGGTTGGCTTAGCGGGACCTGGAGGGGCCGACAGGGGGGCCATGCCCTGTCTTCTGCCCTTGGGCACCAGCCTCAGAGGTGTCCGCCAGGAGCTCGCTTTGTCCCTTCACAGCAGGGTCACGGCAGCCGCGGTTGAGGGACTTTGCAAAGGCCAGGCCAGTGTGCCAGAAGAAGCTCTGCGTCCAGGTGGCAGTGCTGTGTGCCTTGTTCAAGGGAGAGTTAAGACAGAGACTTCCCAGATGACCCAGGACGGGAGGGCCGTGAAGGAAAAGAGGCAAATACAAACTCTCCACATTTTTCTCTGCTCTGTAAAAGAACCTTGTCCGGTTTCTCTCCCGCTGAGCCCCGTGAGGTGAGGGCAGGGTCTGAGCTCCTGTGGCAGCGCTTGTGGCGAATCCCCGGGGGGTGGGGGCAGCGGCCCTCGTGGTTCAGGCCAGCCGCAGACGGCCCGCCGCATTCAGAGCTCCTTTCCTGCCGTGCATCCGTGATCAGCGGCAGGTGAGTTACCTGCGTGGCTTCAGCCCCAACATGCAAGCAAGCCCGCGATGATTCCACATGGAGAAGCGCTGGCTTTATTCAGAGGGGAGGCATGTTAACATGAGCCAGAGCCTGGCAGCCTCCCGGGCCCAGCCCAGCGCCGCCCCGGCCGGCAAAGCAGGGCCTCACCCACCCCCCCCAGTCAGGACAGCGAGGTCCCCGCCGCCGTGGGCTTCACAGGGGCTCAGCACCTTAACCCAGCACCTGCGCCCTGGGGACAGGTAGTGTGGCCAGCGACTGACTAGTGTTGGTCGTCGGCAGGGGACAGAGTCACAGGAGGGTCACCGCAGCGCTGCAGGTAGCGGGCAGAGGGGTCACTGTACCAGGCCCCGGGCCCTCCCTGCCCGCGTGCAGGACGCGCTGCACACCCAGGCTTCAGAGCCTCCCACCTTCCCCTGTCCCTGGGAAGATGCCCGCACGTCCCTGCTGCCGAGAGGCACTTCTTGCCATCCCAGCAGTTTCGGTCCATAAAGATTTCATCCAGACGGAACCTGTGACCTGTCGTCTGTCTGTACCTCTGCCCTGAAATGATGGTAGGCGGCCCGTGCACTTCCAGTAGAACTAGAAACCGTAACACCTGAGTGATGAAAAGATAAGTCAGAAACTGAAAGTGTCTGGGATAAAGAACGGCCAGTCAGGGAGCACATGGCGGCACTGTCCCAGGGCCTGTCACACTCGGGGACACGTTTGCGCAGTGCCTGGTGGCGTCCCACGGCCCCGAGCACGCACAGCCTCCCTGATGCGTGCTGTTTCTGGTCAGGTTCCTTTCCTTCCCCACGAGGTGCCCAGGCCTCCCCCAGACGGGGGCTCTGCACCTGCCCCACCTGCAGGCCTAGCGTGGCTGGTGCCGCACGTTCCACGTCACCGAGTCCCAGTGGCAAGTCTTTGTCTTTACTCTCCCTCGACTCTGTGTGGTTTGTTTGTTTTTTGGCTGTGAGTTTCTGGAAGCATCTTGGCTGAGGGACTGTTGAGGCAGGCGGGGCGGGCGGTGGGAGAGGCTTCGGGGCCCACTCACATGCTGCGGCTACTCCGAGTCACTGTCTTGAAGGCAAGTGACACGGTGAAGGCAAAACAAGCCCCCTCTGGGAGCTGTGCCACCAAGAGCATGCTGCCCCCAAGTCACAACGGCCGCCCAGTCCTCTGAGGCTGGAAGACGATCGGCCAACCTGTGGCTGATTTGGGTGCATTTCTTACTTAATCTGGCGTTCCCAAAATTGGTTTTGAGTCAACTTTTAAAGTTTTCTGTTTTGTTCTTTGGGTTTCTTGGAGTAAATATGTCCTGAAAGTGTTTACTCTGATAGCCGATTAAATTCTCAAAGGGTTAATAATCAGTGACTCATAGCGAGGGTCAAGCGGTTGTTCTTAGATACTGTCAGCTGAGGGGCAAGGGAGTGAGAGTCGGAAGCCGGCTGCCTGGCCCTTCCCCTCCCCCCCGCTTCGCCCCATCGTGTGTCTGGTTGTAGCTCCAGCCACCGAGGGACCTGGGAGGCTCAATGCCAGGACCCTGCCCCCAATCTCTGCACCCCGGACCCTGGGAGCGTCGCCTCTCCTACGTGAAGGGGGAGGGCCTTAACCAGAGGGCCCGGGGCCTGCTTGCAGGAAAGCCCTTCCCGAGGAGGGCCCTCATCCCGCAGGGGAGGCCACGGTGGGGGACACATGGCTGCCGCTTCTCGAGCTGACGGTGTCTCTCTCTCTCTAGGCCTACACGATCCAGGGACAGTACGCCATCCCCCACCCAGATGTGAGTTTTTACTCTGTCCCTTCACCTCTCTTCTCGTCTCCACTTCCCTCCTACCTGCATGCTGCTGTCCATCGCTACTAATATTAATATTACACCATAATATTAATACTGTTCTCAGTGTTCCTGACCTGTGTCCTATCCATATGGCCCTGAGTAACCTTTAGTCTCTTAGCACTGATTCTGCTCCTGTGGAGGACTTGGCCTGACGTCCAATTGTCTTGATTGTGGCTGCAGTCCCGGCTATTCCTGCACACGTGGGGCCTCGGGCGGGGGCCACGGGGCTGCTCTGTCCCCGGCGCCTGCCCTGGTGGGCGGGGACAGCTTGGGCCCCGTGGGCACCTGAGCAGGCAGGTGATGTGCCATCAGCAGGTCTGCCGGGATACCTTGGATGGGCTTTGAACAACTGGTGGAGCTACATGCTCCCTTTCAGGCCCCAGTCGGAGCAGGGTCCATGCATGCACGAGATCCAGGCTGTTGGGAGCCCGTGCGGCAGACGAGGCTCTGTTCTAGCGTTAGGACGCGCTCCACGCCCAGGGCCACTCCGGACTGGGTTCCAGTCTGAGCGCAGTGTTGCTGCTGGAGGACTGGACGCCCCGAGCACACTGCAGGGGAGCCGCAGGCCACAGGGTTGTAGATAGGCTGGGCCGCGAGGTGTGCTGCTGGCCCGGGCAGCGGGGTGCGGGGAAGAGAGGGAAAAGGTGGGTGGGTTTGTGTGCCATGGCCGCAGGCACGGCAAGCTGAGGTCCAACCCAAGAAGTGTCCTCTGTCCTGGGAAGGCGGGTCCACGTGCGCTGCTCTCGGAGAGCCAGTGGGGGGCGGGCTCTGTCCAGGCAGAGGGACCGCAGGTGACAGCGATGCCCGCCCATCTTGTGCATATGCTCGCACTTTCGAACTGGCAGGTGAAGAGCCGGCCGCCTTAAGACGTAAAGTCAGGGCAGGGAGAGTTATAAGAATTCACCGACACTGCGTACATGTGAGATTCAATTCACCATCATTGCAGGACATTTCTATTGAATAGAAAAGAAAAACCAACGGCTTTTCCTTTTTAAAAAATCCTCATTACGCAGCACACATGAATCAAAAGTCAGAGGAAGCTGGTGGAGACGGGGCTGGGGACCGTCCTGAGCCACATGGGGGACGCCTGCCCGCGCCATCCCACATGACAGTTGGCTGCGACCCAGGGCACGGCAGGTGCTGGAACCTGGGGAGGGAGCCCGTCACCCATGTGGAGTGAACAAAGCATAGCACTGGTGGGGTCGGGACAGGCACCGTGGCGTGTGGGTTCCGTGGACCCCAATAGAGCGCCCGCGTGGCGTGACAGAGATCGGAGGAGAAGCCGGTTTACAGGGTGGCACAGCCTTCACTCCCCATGGCTGGTGGTCTTGTGCCTTTGGAAAAGCATCTGTGCAAAAGCAGACTCAGAACTCAGCACACTTGGTGGTCTGGGCCATGAGGGGCGGTTTACCCAGAGCAGGTCTGAGGTGAGGCTCCGACCCGCAGCCCATGGCAGACCTGTGCTTCCCTGCTGCCCGAGGCCTCCGCGCTGCAGGCCTGAATTCCTGGTCTGGATTCCCTAGGCCTGGGCACACGCACCGAGCGAGGCTGGGGGACTTTGACTGGTTTGTTTGGTTGGTTTTCAAATCAATTGGTTGTTCTGCTCTTTCCGTGTGATTGTCTCAGTATCTCTGAAAAATGGGTAGTTTCAATTTTTTTTTCGGATTTTAAACTAATTTATAGCTAGCTATTACATGGTTGCCTCATTGAGTTTGATAGAGATTTGAAACACTTGGTTTTTTATGGTGAAAGGGCTTTTGTGAAGGACCCTGCATTCCCCAGACCGCACGTGTGATGGAGCAACTGTTAGGACAGAAGAGCAGGACTTTGATAAATGCTTTCCTTGCAGGAATGGAAAGTTGAAGGCTTGGACCATCACTAAGAATCGTTCAAAACAAAATAAAGTGGTGACGAGTGACCACGGCCAGGAAGGCACTTTTATCTGAGCTTAATATTCAGTAGGAATTTTTGAAAAGCTTCATTTCTTAGAATGCAAGTATAATAATTACAGGAAGTGCTCGTTTATTTTATAAGGTAACTGAACACACCATTTGAATATTTCAACACCAGTGGCTGACACACACCCCACTGTCATCTCAGCCGCCAATTCCTTCCTAAGTCAGGCACAGACTTTGAGAAAATACATTTCTTAGAGCTGAGCATTTCTTCATCTAGAGCTAAAATGTGCGCAGTTTTTCCTGCTTTCTGCTTTAACCCACGTAGGAATCAGGGCCCCACCCTCACCAGTCTCCCTCCAGGTTCTCGCCTGCCTCGGCCCTTGTTTTACCGGAATCCTTCTGGAAGCTCATAGCTCTTGGGCATTCGGAGAAGCCAAGGACTGTTGCATGACTGGGCCTGTCGCAGCTGCAGGCCTTGGTCACGGCCTGTGGCCAGAATGCTCCAGGACGGCCGCCCACGGGTCCTGCCCGAGGGGTCGGGTGTAGTTTCAGACACGAGGAAGGACCATGGTGGCCACAACTCAGGACGCAGGAGCAGATGCAAAGCCTGGACAGACACAGCATGGCCACCACCGCTCTCTCCCACCTCCGCTCTTTCTGTCCCTGTACCGATTACACCAGGAAGAAATTGGTTTCTTCTGGGAGAAATCAGTCAACGTCAGGCACGCCCTCACGTGTGAATCTTATTTCTACTCTTCAAAGTTTCCAAGTCACTCCCTTACTTAGCATCCCCTCATTAAAGGAGCGTTGGAAGTGAGCAGAATCGAGACCAGAAGCCAGCTGGGCCGGTGGCCTCCCTTGGAGCCTGGACATGGGCTTTCGAGGGGCCCTCACCAGAGCTGGGGGCCAGGAGCAGCAGAGCTGTCGGTCCCCGCGACACTGGGTCCCAGCAGAGGGTGTTGAGTATCTGGGGGTAGATGGGCGCCGTGTTAGCCGGGAAGCTCGTCACTTAGAGAGTTAGCAGTGGGGAAACTGGGAACGAGTGAGTCATAGTAAGTAGAAGAAACCAGTGGGAGTGCACAGCTAGATCCCGTGCGGACGGTGGTCCCTGGGGCTCTGCTCACAGTGGACATAGCCGGGGATGGAGTGCCTTCCCCGCCCACCTCCTCGATGTCCCCCTCTGGGAGCCCACAGGGAGGTGCCATTGAGGCTGCTCCTAGCCTCTTCTGGTGAGAGCCCTGCACGGCCACCCCACTGACGCCCGCACCTCTGGCTCTTTGTTCTTCCAAGATCAGAGGATCTTCAGTCCTCTCCTTTTGCAGCTCAGAGTGGCGGGGAGGCACCCCGGCCTCACCTGCCGCAGAGCAGGAAACAGGGGCAGGTTAACTCTTGCCCCTGCCCCTCTCCCCGGGGTTGCACACCCTCTCCTCGGAGCTGAGCTCTTCAGTGGCACGGCCCTCAGCCCGCCCCTCCCAGAATCAGAATCTGCATTTTCACAAGACCCTGGGTAACTTGTTTGCCCGGAAAGTCTGAGAAACACCGATAAGGAGGACTGAGAAGGGAGAATACAGATCCAGTTGAAGTCCCAGGGTTAGCGGATAGGATGGAGGGAGGGAAGCTTCTAAGAGATGAGCACAGAGAATTTCTCAGAATCAATAAACAAAAAATTCCTCACATTCAGGAATCCCAAGAAATCTCCAACTAGATCAACCAAAATCCATTTTAGACGCGTCCAAGTAAAGCCGCGTGACACCAAAGACCAGAAGTGAATCTTCCGAGAGGAGAGAGAGAAGGAGTATTATAAAGGAGCAATTGTGGTGGCAAAAGAAAAGAAAACAACTGTCAACCTAAAATGCAACCTCCAGAGGATCTCCCAAGTTACAGATGTTTTCAGACAAACAACTGTGACCTTCTAAGGGACGCCGGTCAGTAGAAGGAGAATGATCCCAGAAGGAAGGCTATAAATGCAAGAAAGAATGGTGAGCAAAAAAAATTACCATTTCTTTCCTTAACATAAGCACAAATCATAAAGAAAACATTGATATTTTTGACTACATTAAAATTTAAACATTTGGGTCAATGAAAACAAACTTTGTAAAATCAAAATCAATGCTATCTAATTGCTGGGATTAACTAACAGAGCTAAATGGGCACCGACAGCATACATAAGATTAGGATGTGGCTGAGGGGATTAAAACATCCTGTAGGTCATTGTATCATTCAGGAGGAAGGCAAAGATATTGAATTAAGACTAAATGGGGCTTCCCTGGTGGCGCAGTGGTTGAGAATCCGCCTGCCGATGCAGGGGACACGGGTTCGTGCCCCGGTCCGGGAAGATCCCACATGCTGCAGAGCGGCTGGGCCCGTGAGCCATGGCCGCTGAGCCTGCGCGTCCGGAGCCTGTGCTCCGCAGTGGGAGAAGCCACAGCAGTGAGAGGCCCGCGTACCGCAAAAAAAAAAAGAAAAAAGAAAAGACTAAATGTACGTGTTAAAATTTCAAAGTGGTGACTATCAGAAACACGTTCACTTTCATAACTTCCATAAAGGTACGGAGGGGAAAGCGGGTGGCAGGAAAAGATCAATCAGCACAAAAGGAAGGGAATGAAAAAAAGAAAAGAAACCCTTGAAGATCAGGACAATTAAAATAAGATGACAGAAATTCGTCTACATCTGTGGGTAACTGTGATCAAAACGGGAGAAACTTTCCAGTTAAAAAACAAAGGCTGTCAGAGGGTTTTTTAAGAAAAGCTAAACAAAAAGACAAGCAAACAAAAACAAAAAATATATATCAGTTTTTTTTTAAGAGACACACCTAAAGAATAAGGACCTAGAAAAATTAAAAGAACAGAAAATCTATTCTAGGAAAATACTAACCCAACGAAACAAAACACCATTATTATTATTAGTGGGGGAAAAAAAACTTTACAGGAAATTACTTAGTCATTACTTATTGATAAATGCTTCACTAGAAGATAAAACATTTAAGTTTGCACCTAAAACATAGCTTCAAACATATATAAAGGAAAAAATTAACAAACCATTAAGAGAATTTAACAGATGTTGCAGTGGAACCTTAACAGACCTCTTTCAATGAAGGCCAAGTAGACAAGTACAGAGATTCTGACAGTGCAACGTGAGCCCGAGTTAACCGACATGCACCGAACATTCCCCAGCACAGCCACTGAATTCATGAAAACGTTTACACAGCTTGATCACACCCTAGACCGTAAAGAAGACTCACCATCTTTCAAAAATTGGAATCAGATAGATGACTCTCTCCCCATAGAACAATTAACTTGAAATCAATAATTAAAAGGTGAATTAAAAATAAAAAACCTTGTCGTTATTGAAAGTTAAAGAAGACCAGAAGACCACAGTGAATGGAGAGACACACGGTCCTCCTGGAAACGACACCAAAGATCTTTCCAGGTTGAGGTACGGATGCAGTACAATCGCACACAAAATCCCCGCAGGCTGTTTGGAATTTTACGTGAAGGAGGAAAAGCCAAGAATCATCAAGCTAGTCATGCAGACGACATCTGATAGGATAGTCTTTACAACGTAAACAAAAAACCCACTCCTTATGTACCAAGAACTTCAACACGAGAGAGAAAAATTTAGCACTTTTAGAAGAAAACAGTATCTTTCAGTTCACAGATCAGGGAAGGATTTCCTAAAGCAGAAGCACAAACCATAAAGAAAATAGTGATGAATTCAACTACATTAAAATTTTTAAATTCTGTTTCTCTCAAGGCTCCATAAGGAGAGTGGGGAAAAGATCTTTTCAGCACATATAACTGGAATAGGATTAGTATCTGAAATACATAGGTTTACTTGAATCAGCGAGAAACAACCCAAGAGAAAAATGGGCGAAAGCCACAAGCATTTCACAGAAGGGGAAACGGGACTCGCAGACTAAACCACGAGGCGGCCCGTCCCTAGATGTGCGCGCTGGCGCGTGGCATGTCCGTCTGGTGGTGACTCGTGGAGCCGTGCACTTATGGATCCTTCTGACTTGTCGAGTATCTGTCTATGTTTTATGTTCTGACACAGAGTTCGGTGGAAAAGGCAGTTATGGAGAAATGTCTGTGACTGACGCCTGCCTGCTGGCTCCGCCCTCCACCCTCCCCTCCTATCTTCCCTCGCAGTGGTTTGTAGGCACTGGCCAGATTAGAAAGTCTGATTCTCGTTTTGTTTTGTTTTACGGCAGAAATATCTCGAAAAGTGGGAAGTCCCCTTAGCACTTAGTGCTGCGCCCTCCTTTACAAATGTAGAAATGGAGGCAAAGTTAAGGCCAGAGTCTTAACAGACAGAGAGATGCCAGCTGACACCCATCCGCCCACCCACTCGAGGGACGGGTGCTCCTCCAGGCACCACCGTCCGGTCAGTCCTTCCCGAGATGTCACTTTGTATTCGTGGGTGCCTGAGGGGGGATCTATTTGCTGGTGTGGCCACTGTTTCATACAAAGCAGCAAATCCATTGCAGTGGGACAGGCCAGGGCCTGAATCCCTGAACTTCTGCGTGCCAGACTTTGCAGGTGCAGCGGAGCCCGCCTCGCGGGTTACCTGGCTGTGCCCATAACATGCGTGGCCGGCGGGCTCATCCATTTAACTGAGAGCAGGTGATGGAGAGACCAGAGGAGCACCCGCGGGTGCAGGGGCTGTGGGTGGCCAGGTGGGGACGCCCCGCTGGTTTGCGATGTTCATTCACCCCCAACTCACGTGGGCAGCACTTCAGCCTGCCCATCCCTCACGTGGCACCGGGCCTCGCAGACAGGGGCACGAGGCCCACGGAGACCAGATGTGCCCATCTCTACAAAGCTGATCAGTGTTGGAGGTGACTCCAACCAGTTCTCCCGCCCCCAGAGCCCCGCTCTCCCCTGCCATCTCGACCAACGCACAGCAGTGCACTCTTGGAGACTCGGGGACACATAGGAGAGGGCCCTGCCCTCATGGGGACCATGCCAGCCCGGCCGTCGGACACATAAGCATGTGACGGGGTAACATCGCAGACCAGGAGCAGAGAGCAGCCTGGCCAAGGCCCCTTAAGCCCTTCAGGTGCCACAGGGCCGCCCCTCGGGCTCCCCGCTGACCCCCGGCCCCGGGTGAAGGGCTGGAACCCCCAGGACGCCAGTCCCGCGCCAGGCGGCTCTTCTTGCACCAGTGCAGTGTCTGCACGAAATCCCAGTGACGGTCAGAGCAGGTGGCCTGCCTGCCCTGGGCTGGGCTCTGGACAGCCAACTGGAGGTTTGTTGTCTCCAGAGACGGGGTTTCCTCCTCCATCCTAGGAACTTGTGTTACCTCCTTGTGAGGAGACCTTAGACCCAGTTCCAGCGCTCTGAGTAGGTGGGCTCGGGGCGCAGACGCCGCCCGGTGTCCCCGTGATTCGGGGTGACGATGTACTCAGGGGAGGCGGGGTTGCAGGACCCAGTCGGTGCCCCACACACACACCCTCATGCCCCAACGCCCATGGGTCCTTGCCACCTTTCTTACGGGCCCCTGGAAAGAGGAGCCGTTGCTAGGGTGCCTGAGCTGCGCAGCGGGGCCTCCCACCCTTCAGCGCCTTCCCTGCGGGGTCACCTCGCCCGTGGCATGGCAGGTACGGGTCCCGTCACACCTCTTGTCCCCTCACACCTCTTGTCCCCAAGACTTGGGTTGGTGTCCCCATAGCGGTGTTTCCCGGGTGTGCTCTTCTCAGGGGGCTTCTGTGCACGTCTGCTCAGGCCACGCTTAGCCCAGCGGTGTCAGTCACAGGGCAGACCAGCCGGGCAGCAGGTGTGCTGTCGGCCCCGGGCCCCCCCGCACTGAGGACTCTCAGAGCTGAATCTGACCTCAGGTCACCACGTCCCCGCCCCAGAGCTGCCAGGCATGACACCTGAATCTAGGATGAGGCCGGTTCTCTCCGAGCAGGCCCACCCCCAGAGTGGGGAGAGGCCTGGGGCGGGGGAGGGCTGCTTTTACGGTGGGCTTACCGTTTCCAGGGAGGGAGGGAGGGAAGAGACAGCCCCACACTGGCAGATGCCACAGGAGTGGCCAGGAGACACCAAAGTTTGGCTGCAGCGACAACCCACCCACATCCCAGCGGCAGCACAGCGGAGGTTCTACCGGGAAGGTGTGCCCGGAGGCCACAGGCTGGGCACGGCTCGGCCCCTGGACCCCGACCTGTGGAGGCAGGAGGAGGCCGGACTGGCCGGCCAGCACGCCACCAGCCCTGTCCCCACGGCCGCACCTGCCGGACACGTGACGGGGTGGCAGGCTCTCGGGAGGAGCCCCCGTGGGGCAGCCGTGATCCCCCACGTACTGGGAAGGGGTGTTCGGCATTTGTTAGGAGAGCACGCCTGGCCCCTGGGAGGCCAGCAGCATACCCACTCCTCTGTCGCCCGAGGGCTAGCCCGTGAAGGCCATGGACGTGGAGATCCCAGCGCTCGTACCTGCCCCCACCCCCGACACGTTCTGCAGAATGGGACCCACGTGGTGACTGGTCAGACCCTCGTCTCACCTGGGGGCGCCCTCCACGCTCCCTGGGTGCCCACACCTGCCAGCCGCAGGGGCTCTGTGGAGGCCCCATGCCGGCCTCCGGGCTCTGGAAGCATTCGGGCTGGGCTTCCTTTGTGAAGGTTGGGAGTTGAGTGCACGTCCTGGAATGTCCTGGCCCTCTCTGCGCTCGGCTGGAGATGTGGGCCGGGCCAGTGGGTGAGCCAGGGCTGAGGACGTGCCCAGAAGTCTCCAAGGCCGGGGGTCCCAGCATTCAGACAGCCCCTATCTTCTGTTATTTGTAGTGTTTACTTAAGAAGTGAAGCTCAGATAAAATAACTAAAGAAACTGCATTTCAAAGCCCCCACCAATGTCTAGTGGCTGGGGGATGGGGGCCAAGGGGCAGGTGACAAGGGATGGGGCACGGGGGGGTGGGGGGAAGGGGCATAGGCATGGGACCCCCCACAGGAGCCCTGCACCCTCTTGGCGGCCCTTGCAGCTCCCTCGATGGAGCCCTCCAGCACTGCTTCCTGTAATCCTGGAGGCCGCAGGGGGCGGGCGGTGGGCCCTGCAGGTGGCCCCTCCAAGTCGCCCCATGGGTAGAGTGAGGGCCTGCGGGGGAGGATGCTGGCCGTGGAGTGGGCCAGGCCCGGGGCCGGGGCCAAGTTTGCAGAAGAAAGCCAACCCACCAATGTGAGTGGGTCCCGCGAGTGACAGCGTGACGTTGAGGCACTTGGGGCCCAGCGGGTCCTGCTCTGTGGCTCTAGACCCTCCCCGTGGAGCCCGGGGGCCCGCCTGGCCGGGGGCCGAGGGAGGGAAGGACTCAGTGTGCCTGCCAACCGACCACGGCCCTTTGGTTATCCCAGGCCAAGTCCTTGCGTGCTGCTGCGTCTGCCATGTGTCGCATGGCCCCCTTTCTATCTATCTGTGCAGACTTCCGTTACGCGTTTTTAATTTGGTGTGACTTGTACTCGATGACAATAACCTTCTTAGCTCTCGTGTCCCTCCTACCCCAGCAGTTGACCAAGCTCCACCAGCTGGCCATGCAGCAAACCCCCTTTCCTCCCCTCGGACAGACCAACCCCGCTTTCCCCGGTACGTACCCAGCCGCCCTTTCTGACCTCCTCTCTTCTCACCTGGGGCCTTTCTCTTTCCGAGCGGTCTGTGTTCAGGGCAGTGAACGGAACAAGTACAGCTCTGGAGTGAGGGCCAGAGACGCGGCGCTCTGCACGCTGCCGCGGGTGGGCGGGGGTATCTCTGTGCGTCTCCATGACGGGTCAGTCACCCTACAGCTGGCCTTCCTGAAGGAGACACCCCCCCCCGAGGGTCCGCCCTGCTCTCTGCTGCCCACCGGCCGTCGGGGAGGCCCTCCTGCAGGAGGTGGTGCACCCGCAGGGCGGCTCGCCTGGGATGGCGCCCCCGTAGCTCAGAGTGGCGCACCAGTCAGACTTTGAGCTTCCCTAGTTGAAGTGACCTTGCTTCTCTCCTTGAGGGCAAAACATTAAATCTGTTTCTTCTTTGCTCTCCAGGAGAAAAGCTGCCTTTACACTCCTCCGAAGAAGCTCAAAATCTGATGGGCCAGTCGTCAGGTAAAAGAAAACCACACTAAAGGGAGAGCAAGCAGGCCAGGAAGGGACCTGGCGGGAGGAGGGGGTGAGGGGGCTGCTGGCCAAGCGCCTCGGGGAAGGGACACTGGCGCCACCCAGGGCCGGGGCCCAAGTGGCTGGCCCCAGGTCTGCACACGCGGCTCCCAGCTTCCGCCCCGTTCCTGCTGGGAGCGTGGTGGGTCAGCTCTGACTGGGCTCGGGGCACAGCTGCCCTGTCATCCAGAGGCCCCACCTGTGTGTCATTTATTCTCCCAGTAGCACAGCGTGTGGGGGTCTGGGGTGAAGGGCTGACCACGCTGTGTGCCTTCATGGGAGATGAGATCACTGTGGCCTGGATTTGCACTAAAACACTCCCCGGACAGGGCAGGGCAGGGCGTGGATCCGCAGGTCCTGTCACCCAGGCTTGGAGCAGTGGGCGCGGCCCGCTCACAGGCCGTTGGGGAGCAAAGCCCCTGCAGACATGTGGCCCGGACCTGCCAGGTTCCCTGGGAGGGAGGCGGCCCCCACGCTCCTATCCCCACCCACACGGGCCTCGTGAAAGCCTGTATCAGAGCAGAAGAGCGAGTGCCGACTAAAGGGGAAATGCGGGAGAGGCCTGTTTGCAGCGGTCGTAGCTGACACCCCCACTGGTGTGTTCCGGGCCTCAGGGTGCGTCCGCCCCTCACCCATCCCTCAGGACCACGTGGGCCCAGCTGAGACCACGGGGCTCAGGAGGCGTCTCTCCAGCTGGGACCCCAGCTCTGATGCTTCATGCGCTCACTGTGGGTTTCTCAGCGCAGCCTTTAAGTTAATGCAGAATTGAATGAGTGAAAACTAGAGAAGAACATTTATAGAATGTTTCTGATTTTGGAACTGGATACCAACCTTTACAAAGTTATGTGTCTGGTGATAACACATGTTTGGGTGTCTGTACAGTTTATAACGTGATTGCAGATAATTGCCCAGCCATCGTCTCCAGGAGACGACCTGGGGACTCCAAGCACCGGGCTTACCTGGGACACACGGCCCCCACCCCACCCCGACACGGCCCTCCCAGCACGGCCTCGGGGACGTGGGACCCGTGTTCACATGCCCCTGTGACGACCTCCCTCTCCAAGGCCCCGTGGGACCCAGAGCACTCACACACCACACTTGCACGCGCACGCGCACGCTCCCGCCACGGCCGCGGGTCAAGGAGGCCGGGCGGTGGTCGCGTCCTCACCCTGAAGGCCATGCCACGCCGCTTCCCAGGCAGCTGGGTTTTGTGTTGGGGAAGCAGCGTTCGTGACTCATGGGAAGCTCACCAGTGGGTGTGACTTCGGCCCCTTTTAAAAGAAGCCCCCTGATCAAACATCATAAGCTATAGGTGAACAGGTGTGACCCCCCCAGCTGTGTCACCCAAACCAGGAGGCACCGCACGGGACTTGGGACCAAGGAAATCTCTTAAGTGACATTTTAAATGTCACTAAGGATTGAATGTTTATAGATGGTTGAACAAGTAAGTAACTGTATTGAAAATACCTTTACGAAAAGAGATAAAGAACAGAAACTCCAGGTTTAGCTGTGAAACAGAAAAATGATGGATGGTCTGGGGTGAGTTAGTTCGTTCAGCATAGCTGAGCCCCGTGCTCCGCAGGCCCCAGAACAGGCCCGGTCTCACCGGGTCCCTGTGTCCTCGACACCGATGGCCACGGCACATCTGGTTCCGGGGACACACGTGCCATGCAGGAGGATGCCTGTGGGGCCGGGGGCCGGGCAGTTGCCTTTGTTGGGACCCCTCGGTGCCTTGTGGGGATTAGCCTGAAGGGCAGGGGCCAGGGAGGGAGGAGCGTGGGGTGGGAAGAGGGCTCAGGTTCTGGAATATTCCAAAGGTGCGTGAGCCGGGTCTGCGATAGTGTGCCACGGGGAAGGTGGGTGGAGCTGGGGGCTCCGGGTCTGGGCTGAGCTGCGGGACCCACGACACTGGGACACACGGGTCTGGGGCAGGAAGAGCGGGGTCTCGGCTGTGGGCTTTGAGTTTGAGACGCCTTCTGACGGGATGGAAGCGCCTCGTACACAGGAGTGTGTCTGCCCCAGTGCTCACCCGCAAGGGCAGACCCTGCGTCCCCTCTGGGCCCCTCACACCCCACCTGCGTTTTGTGATCACTGTTTCCAAAGTGAGTGTGGATCTTGTCCTTGAACCCTGAGAGGCTGGCTCTGACTTGGTGGGTGCTGAGCTGACATTTGTAAAGACAGAAGCTGGGCGTGTGATGAGCTGGGCCTGGGTCTCAGCCCAGGACGCCCTGTGGAAAGGCACGGCCTCCCCTGCCCGGCTCTCGGGCCTCCCTGCCCCCACCGGAAGCGCTGCCCGGGGGCGGGGGCCGCAGAGCGTGGGAGGGAACAGGGGCAGCGGAGGAGGCCTGCTGTCGGGTCTGGGGGCGGGAGGGTGGGGACCCAGGACCGGCGTGACCAGTGCGGCCCGTTCTCGGGGCGCCAGGCAGAGCCGCCAGGGTGTCTGTGAAGGGCGTCTCGAGAGACTACACAGCACAGCAGACGAGTGGCATCATGTCGTGCCCAGAGCGAAAACGTGAACCTGCATCCTGCTGGGCTCCTCTTCCTTGTTTGAGAGACGCTGGGGTCAGGAGGGTGGTGGCAGCCTGGGACTGAGCGCTCACAGGCCGCGGCCCCCGGCTGTGCAGACCCTGCCCTGGGCAGCCCCCGGCCCTGCCTGCCTATCGGCCCAGCGGGGCCGAGCGGGAGCAGCCTTCTGCCCGCCTAACCGTCTCCCCTCACTGTGCCCAGGTCTGGACGCCAGCCCCCCCGCCAGCACTCACGAGCTCACCATTCCCAATGATGTGAGTATGCCGGGCCCCGCCCATCCTGAGCCCGTGTGTGCCCCTCCGCTCCCTGCCCTGGTTAAGCAGCTTAATGCCCATGGGGGTGGGTGATATCACCCCCAAGATACCAGCCAAGGAAGCAGCTGGTGGCGCTTCAGGGTTGACTCGGAATTCAGATGCCGGAGCTGCCTGGGGACCCCGGCTGCCCCCATTTGAAGGCCCTGCCTGGTTCAGGGTCAGCCCTGAGAGTAGGTGGCCCAGAAGTTCTCCATGGGCCCTCGGAGGGCCTCACACACTCGCCTCACACACTCAGTTATCTCCCAACCACCCTCTGGATCCCTGGTTTATCCTAAGAATGTTGACTCCGATCCCCAAACCAAGACAACAGGGCTGGTGTGGGGCACGTGTCCTAGAAGGGTAGCTGCCTGAGGGCGGCATGGTGATGGCTGGGGACACGGCCTCTCCAGCTCCCGTGTCCACTCAAACATACATCCCTCCAGCCCGGGGGCGTGGCCTAGAGGGGCCAACATGGCCTCGGGCCCACGGAGGACGCTGGGCCAGGTGATGCGGCCGCATAGCCGCTGTCTTGATTTGTCGGGACTTCTTGCGGTCGAGGCCAAGCAGAGGCCAGGCACCCGCGGCTCCCGTCCTCCAGCAGGAGCGGGGTGGGCGTGCCTCTTCCCTCTGGAGCCTTTGACGTGCTGGGGGTGGGCGGGCCAAGGCAGTGCTTCCTGCAGCTTCCCCAGCGGCTCGGCAACGCACACGGGCTGCGGTGGATTCTCCTCTAAGAAGCTCCTCCGTCCTTTCTTCCAGCTAATAGGCTGCATAATTGGACGCCAGGGGACCAAAATCAATGAAATTCGACAGATGTCTGGAGCGCAGATCAAAATCGCCAATGCCACGGAGGGGTCGTCAGAGCGCCAGATCACCATAACGGGGACCCCGGCCAACATCAGCCTTGCCCAGTACCTCATCAACGCCAGGTGAGGCCGGCCAGCCTGCACGAGCCTGCACGGGGCTGCCTCCCGGGGCTTCTCTCTCCCGGCTGGGCGGGGGGGAGGGGGGGAGAGTCTCCAGGTGGACACGGGCCCACATGCTCCTCTGCACTCTCACACCTGACCTTTCACCTCCGGTGGTGCCTGCACGGCCCCAGACAAGTCGCCAGGCGTTGGCGCCTTAGGCGGCAAACTGTGGGGAGCCCAGCGTCCACACGGACTCGGGGCGTCTGAAGCCAAACCTCTGGGCCTCACTCTTCACAGCTACAGGGAGCTGTGAGGGCCAGCCTGCGCCCTGCCTGTCCCTGTGCAGTGGGAGGGTCTGGGCCCTGTGATGGCAGCGCCAGCCTCGTAGCTGTGCTGCCAGCTCTGCACACCCAGGAGGTGCCTGGGGTTTGGAGCTGCAGGGGGGCTGCTTCACTGGCCTTTCCTGGGACCTCCGGCCTTCTGCCCACGGGGACAAGCTGGGGGTGGCCTGGCCAGCACCTGCCCTGTGCCCACCCCACGTCCTCTGCTCGGCAGAGGCCTGGGTCTGGGGTCATCGAAGGTCAGCATGAAAGGCTCTGTAGTTTCAGGGAACAGGTCACTGGGTTTCTCTGCTCTCACACATCTGTGGTTGTAAAGACCCCCCGACCCAGACATTTGGTGGGCGGCTGCCAGGGAACCGTGCAAGGGTCTGAGGTCACACGCTGGGGCAGAGGGAGGTCCTGTGGCCGGAGAGCCAGGGCGGAGCTCCTGGGCATAGCGGACACCTCCCTCGGCCTCCCTGCTAAGGGCGACCACACCCAGGAAGCCTCCAGAGCCGAGGCACAAGGGCCCTGCGTCCCTCTCCCTGACAGTGTCACTCCCACGCCCCTCCCGGCACTGGCTGTAGAAACAGTTGTGGCAGCCTGGGCCTGTCCTGGTGGCTGTCGTCACGCCCCATGTGGTGACAGGTACATGGGCCCCTGTGGTGGGGAAGGAAGGCCCCGTGGCTCTGGTCCCCGGTCCTCAGCTAGTGGCCACTGCGCTGTGAGCCAGGACCGTCCATGGCAATGAAGAGGGAGGTGCAAGCCTCTAAGGACGCCTCCGTCTGTGAGGACATGGTGACCTGTGCCCTTGTCTCTTCCAGGCTGACGTCTGAGGTCACCGGGATGGGCGCGCTCTAACCCCGCCGACGTCCCCACCACTCGCCTGTGCAGACCGCCCCCCTTGCAGATATAGAGGTTTCTTTACTACAGAAGGTGTCTGTGCCCTAGAGATGCACCCACAGCGCTCCATCTGTGTCTGTGAGCCCCCGGCTCCACCCCGACGCTGCTCCAACTTCACTTACGCCCGTCTCCTCACGCGTTGGCATGCCGTGTTCATTATTTTAAATGCTTTGGGGCCACTCCCATCTGTGACGTTTTAGAAACGTTGTTCCTTAGTGTCCGTGTAACTGTTGTTTTAAGACTTGGTTTGACATTTGGACGGCGCTTCCAGCAGCCGTCCCCTCCAAGCCCCAGGAGCTGTGGCCGCAGGGAGCTGCCCCTCCCCAGTCCCTCGGCCTCGGCTCCCGAGGCCACACGGGTCAGTGCCGGGCAGGGTGCACGTCTCCCTTTGTCCGAGGGCAGGAGAAAGGAAGGCTCGGGGTCCTGACCCGGGGTGCAGGGCGAAGCAGGGATGCTGGGCCCCGGGCGTCTTCAGGGCTGAGAGAGGGGACCGGCCAGAGGCGTCTCCGCACCGCGTCCCGGCTCAATAAACGTGTGCGCTGCCCCTCGGTTCTGGCCCCTCTCTGTGCCCCCCGCGCTCAGACGCCCCCCCCCCGCCACGCTCGTGCGGCCGCCTGCTGCCCAAGGAGCAGGTCCTTCTCACCGAAATCGCCCTCCCACCCTCTCCCACCTTTAAACAAGTCATTGTCTGACTTCCACGAGTCTTCTGGTTTTACTTTTGCAAAACTGCGTGGGGGGCAGCGATGCAAACCCCAGCCCAATGTCGGGAAGTAAGGCTGCTGCCCCGCCGCGCCCCGGGCATGGTGGCCCCTGCGCTTCCCAGCGGGAGCCCGCACGCACCCTCCTCCCGGCTCAGCTCGCCTGTGCTCACCTGAGGAGCCCGCTGCGCCCCTCTCGGCGCTGAGGCCCTGGAGGGCCCAGGCCCGGGGCAGACAGCTCTGCCTGCTCGCGTCAGAGGTGGGCTCACGGCCCCGAGCAGCTGGGCGGCCGGGAGGTGAGGCAGGGCCAGCCCCGCGGGGGCACTGCCCTCCCCGCATCGCATCGCTGGGAGTCCGCGTGGCCTGAGGGGCCTGCCCTGGTGCCCGCCCCTTGGCAGGAGCCCCTCCTTGTCTGGCCCGCTCCCCGGGCTCCGGCCAGGCCTCCGGTGCTCGGGCCGCCAATGCACGGTCCGCCGCCCTCCCGGGAGTCCCCTGGTCGAGGCTGGGTGCGCAGCATAGCGGTGCCCGCCACACCACAAGCCCAGGGCTCGGGGCTGCAGTTCACTCACGCACCCACCGGCCACGTGCCGGCCTCGCTCAGGGCCTGGGAGGTGGCGGGGCCGAGGTGGACACGGGCCTCCCTCTGGGCCCCTCAGTCAGCTTTGGGGTGGCGGGTGGCCGGTAGGCAGGGTGAGGAAGTGCCTCAGAGAGCCAGAGTGGCCGTGGGCAGAGCCAGGCGTGAGGAAGACGTGGGAAGTGCAGCGTTAGCGTGGGGCCCGGGAGGTGCGGCCCGGTGCCCACGCGTCCGCAGGAGAAGAGCAGGGGGAGGGGCGGCCGGGGCGGAGCAGCTGCAGCGGGGGCGGGGGTGGCGCACAGGAGTGCAGGGGGCCAGGGGAGCCCTGGAGGCTGTGGGGCTAACAGAGCGTGCGGCTCAGCCAGGTGCACTGGCTCTGGAGGCACCCGAAGGAAGAATGAGCAGGATTCCCTTGAGAACCGAAGTGTGCTGTGGAAGAAAGAGGGTCCACGCGAACGAAGGCTCTCGCTCTGAGCCCCGGAAAGGCGGTTTGCCCTCTGTGAACGGGGAGGCTGTGGACGAGGGCTGGGGAGACAGGCGCTCGGTTCTGGACGTGTCAGTGGAGATATGCCAGCCCCACGGTCCGGGCGGGAGAGGCCGGGAAACAGCAGGCCAGGTGCCACTGGAGGAGCCCCGAGGGCGCCACGCAGGATGCCCCCAGAGTCAGGAAGAGGGGCCTCACTCGTGCCACCCGGCGTGGGGCCCGGCGTAGGGCCCAGAGGAGATGATCGTGTGCCAGGCACATCGCCAGCCCCGGCTGATGCCCGGCCCCGGAGGAGCGGGGCCCCTACGGAGCTGCCCACCCTTCCGTGTCCACAGATCCAACTGCTGTGAGCTGCGTGTACAAGTCTCTGTTGGAGGTGAATACCTAGGAGGGAAGTGACTGGGGCACATGACGGGTGTATCTTTAACTTTTAAGAATCTGCTAACCTGGTTTCTACAGTGGCTATGCCATTTTATGTTCTCTCCACATTGCAGCGGAGTTCCAGCCGCTCCACGTCCGCAGCGGCATGTGGTGTGATCAGTCTTTTTAATATTAGCCGTTCAAGTGGGTATGCAGTGGCGACTCACTGTGGTTTCAATTACCATTTCCCTTATAACATGATGTTGAGCATCTTTTCATGTGCTCATTTGCCCTCTGTCCTTCTCTGCTGAGGTATTTATTCAAACCTTTTGCCCGTCTCTTAATTTGGTTCTCTTATTATTGAGTTTTATTTATTCATTTTTTGAGAGTCCATGGGCATTTGTTTTAACATATCTTTATTGGAGTATAATTGCTTCACAATGCTGTGTTAGTTTCTGTTGTACAACAAAGTGAATCAGCCATACATATACATATATCCCCATATCCCCTCCCTCTTGAGCCTCCCTTCCACCTTCCCTATCCCACCCTCCCTATCCCACCCCTCTAGGTGGTCACAAAGCACCGAGCTGATCTCCCTGTGCTATGCGGCTGCTTCCCACTAGCTAGCTATTTTACATTTGGTAGTGTATATGTGTCAATGCCACTCTCTCACTTCGTCCCAGCTTACCCTTCCCCCTCCCCATGTCCTCAAGTCCATTCTCTACGTCTACCTCTTTATTCCTGCCCTGCAACTAGGTTTATCAGTACCATTTCTTTTTAAGATTCCATATATATGTGTTAGCATACGGTATTTGTTTTTCTCTTTCTGACTTACTTCACTCTGCATGACAGACTCTAGGTCCACCCACCTCACTACAAATAACTCAATTTCTTTTCTTTTTATGGCTGAGTAATATTCCATTGTATATATGTGCCACATCTTCTTTATCCATTCATCTGTCTATGGACACTTTGGTTGCTTCCATGTCCTGGCTATTGTAAATAGTGCTGCAGTGGTACATTGTGGTACATGACTCTTTTTGAATTATGGTTTTCTCAGGGTATATGCCCAGTAGTGGGATTGCTAGGTCATATGGTAGCTCTATTTTTAGTTTTTTAAGGAACCTCCATACTGTTCTCCATAGTGGCTGTATCAATTTACATTCCTACCAACAGTGCAAGAGGGTTCCCTTTTCACCACACCCTTTCCAGCATTTATTGTTTCTAAATTTTTTGATAATGGCCATTCTGACCAGTGCAACGTGAAACCTCATTACCCTCACCAAAGTGGGTATAGAGGGAACATATCTCAACATAATAAAAGCCATATATGACAAACCCACAGCTACCATCATACTCAAATGGAAGCATTTCCTCTAAGATCAGGAACAATTGAAGGATGCCCAATCTCACCACTTTCATTCAACATGGTATTGGAAGTCCTAGCCAGAGCAATCAGATGAGAAAAAGAAAGAAAAGCAATCCAAATTGGAAAGGAAGAAGTAAAACTATCACTGCTTGCAGATGACATGATACTATACATAGAAAATCCTGAAGATGCCACCAAAAAACTAGCAGAGCTCATCAATAAATTCAGTGATGTTGCAGAATACAAAATTAATATACAGAAATCTGTTGCATTTCTATATTCTAACAACAAACTATCAGAAAGAGAAATTAAGGAAACGATCCTATTTACAATTACATCAAAAAGAATAAAATACCTAGGAATAAATCTAACTAAGGAGATAACAACACGTGTACTTGGAAAACTAGAAGACACTAATAAAAGAATTTCAGAAGACAACACAAACAGATGGAAAGGTACACTGTGTTCATGGATTGGAAGAATTAACATTATTAAAATGTCCATTCTACCCAAGGATATTTACAGATTCAGTGCAATCCCTATGAAAACACCAATGACATTTTTCACAGAACTAGAACAAATAATCCTAAAATCTCTATGGAAACATGAAAGACCCCAAATAGCCAAAACAATCTTGAGAAAGAAGAACAAAGCTGGAGGTATCACACGCCCTGATTTCAAACTATACGACAAAGCTACAGTAATCAAAACAGTATGGTACTGGCACAAAAAGAGACATAGATCAATGGAACAGAGTACAGAGCCCAGAAATAAACCCTATATGGGCAATCAATCTTTGACAAGGAGGCAAGAATATACAATGGAGAAAAGATAACCTCTTCAATAAATGGTCTTGGGAAAACTGGACAGCTATTCAGTACATGGAAAAGAATCAAATTGGAGCACTTTCTTACACCATATACAAAAATAAACTCAAAATGGATTAAAGATTTAAGTGTAAGACTTAAAAACATAAAAATTCTAAGAGAAAACATAGGTAGTATGCACCTTGATATCGGTCTTATTAATTCTTTTTGGATATGTCTCCTCAGGCAAGAGAAATAAAAGCAAAAAGAGACGGATTGGGGCCACATCAAACTAAAAAGCTTGTGCACAACAAAGAAAACTGTCAACAAAAGGAAAAGACTGCCTACTGACGGGGAGAAGATATTAGCAAACAAAATATCCAATAAGGGGTTAATATCCAAAATATACAAAGAACTTATACAACTCAATAGCAAAGAAACTAACAACCCAATTGAAAAACGGGCAGGGGATCTGAATAGACACTTTCCCAAAGAAGGCATGTAGATGGTCAGGAGACACGTGAAAAGATGCCCAACATCACTAATCATCAGGGAATTGCAAATAGTGAGATGTCACCTCACACCTGTCAGAATGGCTATTATCAAAAATACAACTATCAAGTGTGGGTGAGAATGTGAAGAAAAGGGAACCCTCCTACACTGTTGGTAGGGATGTAAGTTGGTACAGCCACTATGGAAAACAGTATGGAGATTCCTTTAAAAATTAAATATCCATATGATCCAGGAATTCAACTCCTGGGTATTTATCTAAAGAAAAAGAACACTAATTAGAAAAGATATATGCACCCCCATGTTTATTGCAGCATTATTTACAATAGTCAAGTTATGGAAGAAACCCAAGTGGTCATCAATAGATGAATGGATAAATGAGATGTGGTGTGTGGGTGAGGGGGTGTGTGTGTATGTGTATATATATAATGGAATATTACTCAGCCATAAAAAAGAATGAAATCTTCCCATTTGCCAAAAGGATATTTTGCTAAGTGAAATAAGTCAGACAAAGACAAATACTGTATAATTTTGCTTATATGTGGAATCTAAAAAACAAAACAAATGAACAAACATAACAAAACAGAAACAGAGTTACAGAGAACAAACAGATGGTTGTCAGAGGGGAGGGAGGTGGGCAGAGGAGAGAGATCGTGAGGGAGGTTAAGAGGTACAGACTTCCAGCTGCAAAACAAAGGAGTCACAGGTATGAGATGCGCAGTGTGGGGAACAGAGTCAATTCCTACGG